TAATTTCGAATTTCAATCGATGTGCAGTTATTCGCGGCTTCGTGAACATGAACAAAAACGGGCATGCCCCACCAAGAATGATGAGATACAAAGACGGCAAATGGGTTTGAAGTTAAAAATATACTATTACTAAGACAGGCGAGAAATTGTGGATACAAGCTGCGGCCATGACCAGTGCCTACCCGTGTCATTGGGATTCGGCTTATCATCTTTTCTCTCTCTCTCTCTCTCTCTCTCTCCCTCCATCGCCATCCCAGAGACTTACCCTCATGCGAGGAATTTTGTTCATGTGCGGAGTGCTGAAGCATGTCGCACCCATCAGCCCATCAGCTTGAATTGCCAAATCAGAAAGAGCCCGGGACTCGCCAGGGGGGCAAAAGTCCCACAAAGAAATTTTGTTGTTCAAAGTTGAAACTTCCATACATCCCAGTGAACACTGGGGTTGGGCTCATATCAACTATCAATGATATGAATAATCAATTCGCGGGGCACCCTCACCAACTGGGCACTGCTGGCCGCCGTCGCATAATGTCGCAACAGGTCACAACAGATCGCAACAGTCGGATCTTGAAAGAGATATCACCCCGGATCCATCAGGTGGTTGCCACATGTCGATGTTCAATAACTAGCTAAGTCCACAACCTGGGCATCTCTCCAAATTCCACATGGTGATCACATGATGGTAGACCATTTCAGACCATCAAGCGACTCAATAGGTTTCCATTCTCAAACCGTTGGCTTTTGGAGGATACACTCAGGTGGTGATCAAGAAACCACAAGCAGTCTGAAAAATCACCATGGAATCTTACATAACTTTTGGCATACCAATAATTGTCACATGTTATCAACATCACTTCGGCACCAGCTCCCAATTTCAATGGGAGCAGTGCATTGACATGCGGGACCCCTTTTGAAAATGTGTCAGGCCGTCCACAGCCCCTCACACCTTTGCATCCTTTGCCTTCAGTTTCCTTAGTCCTTTTGCACCAAGCTCCTCTAGCCACTGAGCCTCGCAATTCGGCACCTGGAAAAGTTTGGTGAAAACCAAACTGCAAAGATAGAAGATGTCGTCGTTCCTAGGAGTTCAAGCTATGATATCCGCCGGCCTGCCGGGGTGTGTGATTTGAAGGTGTTGTTCTTGTTCCTTGTGCTTGTTCCTTTGTTCTCTTGCAACGCGTTTTTGCTTCGTTTGAATTGAGTCCCCGCCCATGGGTGTGGATAGCTGGGCCTAAGCCTAAATACTTGAACCACCACCACACCGACTACGACTATACGACTACGACGGATACGCCTACTACGACTACTACGACTACTACGACTACGACTCCAACGATTGCGTATACTACGACTGCGACTACTCCGACTACTACTACCACTACTACTACCACTACCACTGCCAGCACTACTGACACTACTACCACTACTACCACTACTACCACTACCACCTACTACTACCTACTACTACCTACTACTACCTACTACTACCTACTACTACCTACTACTACCTACTACTACCTACTACTACCTACTACTACCTACTACTACCTACTACTACCTACTACTACCTACTACTACCTACTACTACCTACTAACTACCTACTACTACCTACTACTACCTACTACTACCTACTACTACCTACTACTACCTACTACTACCTACTACTACCTACTACTACCTACTACTACCTCTACCCTACTACTACTACCTACTACTACCTACTACTACCTACTACTACCTACTACTACCTACTACTACCTACTACTACTACCTACTATACTACCTACTACCTACTACTACCTACTATACTACCTACTACGACCTACTACTACCTACTATACTACCTACTACTACCTACTACTACCTACTACTACCTACTACTACCTACTACTACCTACTACTACCTACTACTACCTACTACTACCTACTCCTACCTACTCCTACCTACTCCTACCTACTCCTACCTACTACTACCTACTCCTACCTACTCCTACCTACTACTACCTACTACTACCTACTACTACCTACTACTACCTACTACTACCTCCTACTCCTACTCCTACTACTACTCCTACTCCTCCTACTACTTCTACTACTACTACAACTACTACTACTACTACTACTACTGCTACTACAACAACTACTACTACTACTACGACTACGACTACTACTACTACGACGACGACTACTACTACTACTACTACTACGACGAGGATGTCTACTACGATGTACACTACGATGTCCACTACGATGTCCACTACGATGTCCACTACGATGTCTACCACGATGTCTACTACGATGTCTACTACTACTACTACTACTACTACTACTACTACTACTACTACTACTACTACTACTACGCGTCTAGTCCTGCTACTCCTACTATTCCTCTTACTCCTACTCCTGCCCCTACTCCTATACTCCTTCCTAAATACTAAACTGGTAGTGCCGGTAACTGTCTACAGCACTTCAATCGTCGACTGGTGCTAGTCACAGGACGCGCACGGTACTAAACTGATCGACCGGTACTCATTTGGTATGCTGTCCATAAGTTGTTCAAGCACGTGGTTGCTACTCAAGCTGCTTCTGACCTCCGGCTCTGTCTTCTTCTCTTCCTCTTCTTCCTCTTCCTCCTCCTCTTCTTCCTCTTCTTCCTCTTCTTCCTCTTCTTCCTCTTCTTCCTCTTCTTCCTCTTCTTCGTCTTCTTCGTCTTCTTCTCTTGTCTTCTGCTTCTCTCTCAGGTTTCCCACCTAGTGTGCTTATCAACCTCCCTTGTGGCAACCTCTCTCCGCTTTCGTTTTGTCCCCTTCCATGCAGCGGTCTACTGTCACGCCAGAAGCTCATACATAGTACCTGGCGCTGCTTTGCTGGGGGTTACTCATTTGGTATACGGTCAACCACCTAGACGGCACATCAAACTCCCTTGGGGCCACCTCTCTACGGCCAGCGGGCTTTCCGAAGGCAATTGAATATCATTGACACGTCACAACTGGACCACGCCGGGCAGGCGGGCTATTAGCAACATTCAATGGGTTGATTTAAGGTTCAATTTTCGAACATCATCCAATGATCAAGGTAGCGTTCGCATATGTTAGCACGTTTTCCGGAAGCTATTCCAGTCGTTCAGGTACTTGATGTCATGCTGGAGAAAATCAATATCCAAGTTCTGGTGGCTTCAAAAGACCCTACATTCCCTTTAATCATTTCAAACCACTCAAAAAGAATCATGCGGTTCTCCATGTGTTTTTTCATGATTTTGCCCCGAAAAATCATCGACCGAACTGGATGGCCGCACCGCCTGCACCAAGGGATCCCTCGCGAGCTTCGCAAAGAAATCCTCGAAGCCACGGGGCGGCGGATGGCGCTGAAGCTGCGAAAGACAACGCTTGTGGAGCGGAGCAGATGGAGAGTGCCCCGAGAGCTGAAACACCTGCACCAGGAAAACGAAAGTGAAACCTGTTGAAGCCCGGTGACCTCGAAACTAGACGACGGATGGCCCGAGAGCGTAGAGGAGCGGAGTCTTTTGTTGTTAGTATGGAGACACTATATTGCAAGAAAATATATTAAAGATGTATTATAGGCAGACGAGAAGAGTAGTATCAAGACAATATATCACAAACACAAGACAATAGTTTGCATCGTATCTTTCGTATAGTTTTTCACACACAGAACTTTTTACAGACAGACACTTTTGCACACAGAGACTTTTACACACAGACGCTTTTACACACAGACGCTTTTACACACAGACGCTTTTTCACACAGACGCTTTTACACACAGACGCTTTTACACACAGACGCTTTTACACACAGACACGTTTACACACAGACGCTTTTACACACAGACGCTTTTACACACAGACGCTTTTACACACAGACGCTTTTACACACAGAAGCTTTACACAAGACCACGTTGTACACACAGACACGTTTTACAACAGACACGTTTACACACATGACACGTTTACTGAACAGGCACGCACTTTACACACAGACGCTTTTTCACACACAGACGCCTTTTGCACACAGACGCTTTTACACCTACAGACTGCTTTTACACACAGACACGTTTACACACGACACTCGTTTACACACCCCAGACGCTTTAAACACAGACGCATTCTTACACACAGAAGCTTTTACACGCAGACGCTTTTCACACAGACTTTACACACAGACACGCTTTACACACAGACGCTTTTACCCACAGCCGCTTTACACACATGCCAGGCCACGTTTACACACAAAACTGGTTTCCACACAAACCGCTTTACACACAGATCAGTTTACACAAGACACGTTCTAAACACAGAAGCTTTTACACACAGAAGCTTTTACACACAGACGCTTTTAAACACAGAAGCTTTTACACACAGAAGCTTTTACACGCAGACGCTTTTACACACAGAAGCTTTTACACACAGATGCTTTTGCACACAGAAGCTTTTACACACAGACGCTTTTACACACAGACGCTTTTACACACAGACGCTTTTACACACAGACGCTTTTACACACAGACACGTTTACACACAGACACGTTTACACACAGACGCTTTTACACACAGACGCTTTTACACACAAACACGTTTACACACAGAAGCTTTTACACACAGACGCTTTTACACACAGACGCTTTTACACACAGCGCTTTTACACACAGACACGTTTACACACAGAAGCTTTTACACACAGACGCTTTTACACACAGACGCTTTTACACACAGACGCTTTTTCACACAGACGCTTTTACACACAGACGCTTTTACACACAGACACGTTTACACACAGACGCTTTTACACACAGACGCTTTTACACACAGACGCTTTTACACACAGACGCTTTTACACACAGACACGTTTACACACAGACGCTTTTACACACAGACGCTTTTACACACAGACGCTTTTACACACAAACGCTTTTACACACAGCCACGTTTACACACAGACGCTTTTACACACAGACGCTTTTAGACACAGACACGTTTACACACAGACACGTTTACACACAGACGCTTTTACACACAGACGCTTTTACACACAGACGCTTTTACACACAGACACGTTTACATACAGACACGTTTGCACACAGACACGTTTACACACAGACGCTTTTACACACAGACGCTTTTACACACAGACGCTTTTACACACAAACGCTTTTACACACAGAAGCTTTTACACCAAGGAAGGCTTAGAAAGGTGAGCGGCTGTCGCTGCTGTGAACGCAAGGCAGGAGGCGTAGGCGGAAACGGGGCGCGGATGCCAGGCTTTGGCGGGCCACGTCACACCAGTCCAGTGGTTTATTACAGCATGTGACACCCTTTGCTGAGGTGAAATACACGTTTTTTCCTCTAAAATAGCTCTTCTAGTCACAAAACACTGGTAACTACTGATAAGTTTGGCAATTTTAAATGGACATAAATGACTCCCCCATGCGGGCACGTTCTCAAAAAAGGTGAAGTTTCAAGTTTCTATTTCACGCCAGTGGAGCCTGGCGGATTTTGGGCAAAATGGGAAAGAAATTGGATGGAAAATTGGTGGAACTGTTAGGTTCAAATATGGGACACTGTGAGTTAACCATTGTTGAACTTTTTTTTGAACATAATTGACCTATATTGACCTGATTGCTTCAAGTAAACACATGGATCATGGTAAATGGATGGAAAGCGGGAAATGGACGGCAAACGCATTTGGAATGGGAACAAAGTTGTTGACAAAGGGTATTGACGCCAGCAAGTTTCCTGCCAGATCCTGTTACATCATGTCCTAGAGCTCCTTCAATCCAATCAAGTGGACACCGTTTCCAACTCATCCTCCCTTAATAAAAACGACAGAATCCCTGGTCTAGTGGTGGATCTGTTCACGTTGGCTTGCGTGCAGGAAAGAATTGCAGGACACCACCGTTTTCGTCGGAAAAAAAAAAAGCTTCCGCAAGAGTTTCTCATCATGATGGTTGGAGTATTGTTGGTGATGGTTCTGCCCGCACCGAAAGTGGGGGGCTTCTCAATGCGACGCATTAACTGGACGCAACTGCGCTAAGCTTTGGCTTGGGGGGTGTTTTTGCTCCAGAATTGTGTGATTTTCATTCAACCTTTTTGAAAGCAAAATGATGTAACGTAGGTGCAAGTTAGCCTCAGCATAGATGCCCCTATCCCAGAATCTAGAGCAAACACTTCCGGTGCGGGCAATTGTCGTCGTGAAGTTCTGAAGTGACCAGAAGAATATCCCATCTAGCTCCCAAACATTCACTATAATCATCAAGTTGTACTAGTGGTAAACTCAAAAACAAACTATCCCCAATATCACCAGAAATGGGTTGTGTAAACCTCCAAAAATGGTAGATTTACAACTGGGTTTACCACACTACTCATGTTGGCTGGTCACATTCCACCAGAGTTCCGTTGACGATTCCGCCTTCAAGATCTGGTCGTGTGTGGCCTTGCCCTTTGCGTAGTCATAAGCCGTGCGACCCCAGGTGTCTCTCAAGGTGGGATCTGCACCGAAGAGGAGAAGCTTCGATGTCATGTAGGCATTGTTCTGCTTCACGGCTTCATGCAGTGGGAAAGTCACGAAGATCACGCCTTTCTTTCCGTTGGTATCACCTTAAACAAACCACAGCTGGTAAGGCCCGGAGTTGTTCAAAAGCCGGTCCACATCGGAATTTTTGTTGGATCCAGCGGCATCTGAGGTCCCCACCGTTGGGAAATTTGTTGGCTTTCAGGAACAAGCCGATCTGCTGGCGCGCGTCGGTCAGCTCCCTCTGGTGCTTTGAGACGATTTTGTCCATCTTGCGCTGCACCCCACTGATGGCTATTGTCGCGCTCTCCTGGGGCTGCTGGCACATCTTCACTTAAACTCAGGGACAAAAGAAGGTTCCTTGGCGTGTGAATCTTGAGCCCCAAAAAAATGGCTGCGAGGCAAGGCACCCTGCTGAAACGTGCCCCGTGCCCCACGGGCTTTGTGGAGGATATATACATCGAGCACATATGCTCTTCAAAGGGCACATCGAGCACCATGTATCATCAAACATCCAAACTCGGCAGGTTTTAAAAAGATGCATTCTGGTTGAATAATTAGGGTCGCCTCCCCACCCTATAAAAACATGACATCATTACTACTAATAACTATATAACTATTATACCTAAAGAAACAATGATGATCACATTGTGGCTACTACTTATCACTAAAATTAATCAACTATAAACTATTAACATCAACTATATTGATATAGATAACCAGCAAAACATCAATCTAACATTAATAATAGTGCAAATGGACTATTAACTATAGATAAATCTATTACTATGTTTCAATTGAATCATATGTTTATAGTAATAATAGATAAATTTATTATCATTATATAATAAATAGATAAACTATGTTTATCTTCAACTATTCATCTTTGGGCGCCCCCACGGTGGTCTGCGAGTGCTCGTGTATCGTCCTCGGGAAAATTTTCACGGGAATGTACCTCCCTTGACGCCATGATATATTTAGCAATGTAGTAATAAATATATAAACATAAATATAAATGTGAACATTATATATATATATATATATATACATGTTTGTATTTTCCTGTACATTTTATACATATGCTAAACGCATCAATAAATATATGGTAATGAATTTTAATCTTTTGTAATTATTCATTTTTGTTGGTAGCTACTTTGGTTTCGCAGACCCACAATGGTGTCATCGACCTCTGATGCTCCTTGTGGTGGCCTTTTTGCCGGTCAATTCGCCAAGAATTACAGGGGGGTTCCACAAATGGTGGATCCCAATGGCTGGATGGTTGCAAAATGGAAAATCCTATTCAAATGGATGATGACTGGGGGTAGAAATGGATTTTCAGGAAACCTCCATATCTTGTCAAAGGAAGCTTCGTCAGCAAACTTCTGTGTTACGGACGACGGTCATTGTTGGGCTTCACACCAACATGTCAACCACATCATCATGCCAACCCCATCGCCGCGCGAAGAGAAGAATTGGGTTACAGAAGCTGCAGAAGAAGTAGCTCAGTGAAGAAGTAGCTCAGTGAAAATGTAGCTTAGAGAAGACTTGGCTTAGGGAATTGGTAGCTCAAGGAAGACGTAGCTCATTCATTCACTGATTCAATGAGCCATTGATCCATTGATTCATTGATTGATTTGATTGATTAATTGCTTGCTTGATTGATTGGTTGATTGATTGATGCATTTCTCATGCATTCATTTCCATTTCATGTTCATTTGATTTCAGTTTCATTTCATTTCATGATCATTTCGTGTTGATGTTTTTTGTGTTCATTTCTATGTCATTGTCATGTCCATGTCATGTTCATGTCATTTTAATGCGTCCATGTTCATTTCCATTTCACTTGTTTTCATCTCGTCTCATTTCATTTCATTCATGGATTGATTGATTCATTCATTCATTCACTCATTCATTGATTCACTCAGCCATGATTCTTTCATGTCATTGATTTCACGTAAGTTCATAGGCATGTCAACAATCAATAATTGCTGATGGTACATAATCCTAAATCCAATCAACCATCATCATTTTTTGTGGGATACCCTGCAGTGCACGTTGGAATATGTTGGAACATTGACAGGAAACAGCCACGGATTCATCCACTATTGGTGGTGCTTTTTTTAACCGTATCAAAAACCGTATAGCATCCGTATGCCCCCAGCGGTTCAGCCATGTCGTCGGAGTCGCCTGTGCCAGGCGTTGTCTCTTGAGCTCCGCGTCCAACTCCAAAGCCCGGCTTTCGGCAAAAGCCACCTGGCCGGAGATTTCTGCATCCTGAAATGGATGATTAATGAATATGAATGTTCTACATGGAGCTATATCCATATATATATATAATTATATATATATAATTATATATATATATATTTTTTTAAAAAAAAAACATACCCCAACGAAATCCTGGTATATCCTGGTTCGGTAAAATGTGTTATCCATTCATTTTCGAGGCCTGTAGTGGTGGTAGTGACTGGTAGTGACTGCGGATGGGATTAATGGATTGGCTGAAATGAAGACAACCGGTGTGGAAAAATGTCGGATTTGATCAGCAAGTGCCGAGGTTGTCACCGGAACACTGCTCCCTAAGACAACCGTGGGGATGAAAAGGCCCGTTCTCGGATGATGTTCTTAAACCGAAAAGCGAGCTATTGTTCTTTCAACGAGTAAGCAACACAAAATGATTGTCGATCTTGGGTGGACATGAGTGGACAAAGCCCGCGACGAGAGTTTCAACATGCTTTTGCCCTCGCAAAAACTGTTCTGAATGAGGATCTTCACACCTGTCACTCCCAAAAAAATGTCAAACAATTGGGGAAACAAACCGCATGGTCCCAATTGGTCCCATTCCCCCCCCAAAGATGACCTTCTCAGAAAGTTGACGCCTCTCCTCCTCATACTCCTTCTCCATGGATGCCTGGAATTCACCACGGACACAACGACAGAGTTCCATCGCGTTCGCCCCTCGAGCCCCTCGAGCCCCTCGCTATCATCCCAGTCCGGTCGTTCAACTTTTCTTCCAGGGCTTGGTTTTCCACCTGGATCCGTTGGGAATGTTGTCCATGTCGATGTCACGATATGTCAAGATCATCAAATATCTCATGAATCATAAGAAAATAATGCCAAAATCCGATTAATAAACCCCCACCCCCTATAGGTCTAGGTAGACCTTGTGGAGCCCCCCTTAATAATAAGCATCTTCTGAACCATAAAACTTTGGATATGGCTTACGTCAATTACATCTTCATAGAATTCCATTGGATTTGATAAGATTTGATTGTTAAAATCTCATGGATCAGAAAGGGGGTTGATTAATAAGGGGCAAGCCCTAGTTACTATTAATGGGGGACATGGGCTCATGGGGGGTACCCTTTGGGAGCTATCCAAACTGATGATTTTTATAAAGAATTTTATTAGAAATCGATCATTTGGGGAATGGTTGTTTTTTGAAATTTTCAATGATCAACTTAAACCTTCAGCATAACAATGATGAGTTCTGAGATTGATGAGATAAAAAGAATTGGACATAAAAATTGTTGGATAAAAAAATGAGATTTCAGCACTGGTGGTTTATTAATCGGGGGTATGCCAAACTGTTTATTAATCTGGGGGGACCAACTTTTTTTAAATTACCAAAAAAATTGGGGCAGTGGTGGTTGATTAATCTGGAGGGGTTGATTAATCCTAACTTGGCATTGCATGGAAAAAAACAATAACCAACATGATATCGGAAATGTCTGTGGCAAGCCTCCATTGCCAGGGATTTGCCATGAAAATCTGAGCCATTGACCCGCGAAACCAGTTGCTGTTGCAGCTGTGCCACCTGCGCCTGGGGACTGTTTGCCTTAAGTCTATATATCCACTGATTTATAGGCTTAATTTATCTATATCTATATATCTATTTAATCTATGTAGTTGACCACGGTCCCACGGTTGAATCGACAGATTTAACCTATATGCCACTTTCGTGTCGTATACAGTGAGGAACATTTAAACATCATATATGCGATATGATACACACACACACATCCATATATATATATATATACATGAGGAGCTACTGTAGTATATAGCACTAAGAACTAAGTTAATACTAGTTGTTATTGTATCATATGCATAAGAGTACTGTAAGTAAGAACTATGACTGTGAGTTTGCTGATGTAATTTTATATGTCAAATAGAGTCCCGTATTCAAAACCTCCCCTCCAACTAACATAGACCTTGCCACAAGGGTAGAAAACTCTCTCTTTCTCAAGCAGTCAGAGAATCAAACTGAGTTTTCATAGCTGGGATAGTAACCCCTTTTTTTGGGTGTTTGAATAAACCCTTTTGACTTTCCGACAAGAATCATCAAAAGAAGACCAACCTTAATGGCCATATATAGCATCCCCAAAAATATGCCTAAAAGAGCCTCCAGGAATCTCCAAGATCTTAGTGCGATGATATCTCCATATTTCCAGTTTTCCACTTATCTTTTTTGGGGGTGACTATGGGTTACTATAGGGAGGTTTCCTATTGATAGTTTTAATAAGTCACTAAACACTAATGACCCATATGATGGGTTAAAATTCGGTACCCCAATCATTGGATGGTTTATATTAACAGGGACTAAAATGGCTGTGGTCCAGGTCTTTAACTTTCACCCATACCCATATCCCATCATCTTCCGAAACATACGAAACCTCCGTTCAAATCATTCAATCAATATCCCATATCGAAAGCTCCATTCATATCCATCAATATCCATTAATCATTAATATCCATTGGATATATATCCATTAAATACCCTCTGGTAATTTAACGTAGCTATTGAAAATGGCCATTTATAGTGGATTTTCTCATTAAAAATGGTGATTTTCCATAGTTATGTTAGTTTACCAGAGGGTATCCATTAAAATTCCATTAAATATCCATTAATATCCATGATATTTCCATATCCATGACATATCCATTCAATATTCGGATATGGGATATTGATTGAATGGATATTAAAATAATATTAATCATTAATATCCGTTAATCATTAAATTTCCATTGAATATCCTATCCTCTTTCGGATGAAAAAACGACCGCGCCTTCTGCGTGGCCACCAAGGAGCGTTGCATTTCCGCATCCGCCTGGGCCTGGCTGTGCAACTCCTGGAGCCGCTGGACCTGGCGCGAAACAAGAACGCTATGGATGTACGGAACAGGTGGTTCTAATGTAATTACAATTTGGATATATATATATATATATGGATTTATATGGATTTATAAGATGATATATGGTGATTGTATGGCGGTTGTTATATTGCTATTATTGTTATCGTTGTTATTAGTATATGATCACCATATAATCAGAATATACTCCATTATACACTTGATTTTTACCATTGTGAAATATTCTGAATCGTCAATGTCAACTATTGCGATTATTATCTCATGTAGCTGATATATCTATTTTCTTGGATCCGGTTCTTGTAATAATAAAAAACTAATATTATCTAGATTATATTTATATTTAGATTTAAAACAGCACATACAGGGATCAAATTCCATATCATGTCTCCTTCTTGGCAAATCGGACCCGACTTTTGAACTTTTCAAAAGCTATTTCAGGTAAGGAGGTATCCACTATGTAAGGTCTATGTGCAGGCTGCATAAGGATCTGTACCCACCAAATATGCCTATATGTAAAAAAAATGGCGCAATGCCTCCAGTTTTGGTACTTGAAATAGCCATTGCTTTCTCGTATTCCACACCTGGAAAGTGCTGGGCCTCCACATTGGCAGCGCCCAGCTTGCTTTGCAACTCTGCCAGTTGCACCTGCCATGGCATGGAGCCCCGTCCTCACATCCAAACTGGTGTAAATCAGATGGAGTTTAGGGTACACGGTGCATAAAAACAATTACATATTTATATATATATGTATATTATAGGTGTATATTATATATAACTCATTCATTCACAGCATTGCAACTTGCCCATCCCACCCACCTTGAACATCACGCATCAGCTTCTTTTGCTTGGTGTTGCTGGCAGATTGATCTGACATCAGTAGCCAATCTATCACCCTCTGTGCGAAGTATGCTGGAACTTGAGGGTGGGAAAAGTGAATGGGATGGGATTTTCAAGTTCCAGTCAGGCTTCTTTTTTGAGCCCGACGACAGTTTCACCCTGCTTACATGCAGTTCATTGGCATGTTTGTCACAACTGGTGTTGTTCTCAAACATTCATTCACAGCATTGCAACGTGCCCATCCCACCCACCTTGGACATCACGCATCAGCTTCTTTTGCTTGGTGTTGCTGGCAGATTGATCTGTGACATCAGTTCATTGTCACTGCACTCACGGGTTAAAGACTGAACTGGCTCCTTCGATGATGAAGCCAGCCAATCCATCACCCTCATTGACCTTGCCGCGGGCTTTCATCACTTCGAAACATCTCCTGCACCGCGTCTGGTTGAATTGCAGTGTCACTGGCAGCAACACCTTCTCAGGGTTCTCGGTGAAATTCCATCCGCACGCCGTGTTCCATTTTGCCATGGCTATTTGCCACGCAGCGTTTGTGACTTTGTGCCAAGTGCGTTTGCCTTTTCTACTTTCCGAAGAAGATACCCACAGTGATTGCTTGGTCGCTTTTCTATCGACCATTTCCACTGAATGATCACCTTCACCTTGGGCATGATTTTCCATCTGTCTCACTGCCATAGGAGTTCCCCACATTGGAGTCTTTGGTTGGCATTGCGGAGTCCAGGGCGCTGGTGTGCCCACATTCCACGTGGCACAGCTTCAACTCATTCAAGCATTGATCGCCTGACTTCATGTTGGCGTCCTTGATGCAAGCTGCTACTCCTTCCACAACGTCCTGCGACAAGGGAAACACTTGTCCACCTGCGCCAGACAGTAATCTCGCAAGCCGCACCACTTCCCCTCTTTTGACCTCTCTCAAAGCTTTCGAGGACGGTGCCCAAAAGTTCGCTTTCAGCTTGTCCACCGCGCACTTGATGTTCCTTCTGGATGATGCTAGCTTGCAGGCCAATTTCATGCCCGTCACTTCGGCTTGATTTCCATCAAGTTCTAGTCCCTCTTGTTTTGGAGGTTTCTCTTTCTCCTTGTCTCGCTCTCGCTGCATCCTCCCTCGCTTGCCCTTCACGTCGTGCATCGCGCCTAAATTGAAGCCTCTTCCCAGGCCTCTGCCTAGGATCCTCTCCAATCCTCTCTCCTCCTTGCCATTCCGAGCCTTTGATCCATGTCTGCCAGCACCGGTAAGGCTCTTACCACCATGTCTTGAGTCAATCTCTCTCGGTGCCCTCCTCCTGTAAGATGAGTAGACTGCTATCGGCTCTGGTGTGGTTGCTCTGCTCTCCTTCACCGTGTCCGCCTGAGTTAAAGAACTTGGAGGCGTGCATAAGACTGTTTGCGTTGATGCGTCTGTGAAACGAGTCTCCTCCCTTGTTCCCGCCATCTCCCTGCTCTTTGGTTTCCGCGGGGGAAAAGTGCCCAGACGTAGATGCCCAGGTTGCGGAGGAAGGCGCAGCATATGATGAGCCAAGATAGCCATCCTAAAACTACAGAAATTTCGATCCAAGACCACTCTTCGGTCTCCACCAACTCGACGGCTATCTGTTGCACCTCCATTGTGCAGGCTCGATCCATGTTGCTGCAAACAAACTGAAAGTCCAAACCAAACATCAAATCAACTGCAACCTTATGACATGAAAGACGTTCAAACAAGATAGAAAATGGGTGAAGAACCGAATCATGAGACATGATATTACAACCCCTAATCCCCCCCAAAGCTGCGAAAGAGTTTCCTCTTCCATCTCCCCAGCTTCGGATGTCTCAAAGTTCTTCAAAGGCGGCCGACACCACTTTGGATGCTTGGCCCCATCTCAATGCTGCATCTATTCCAGGGGGGTTCAAAGCCGACGTCATTATTCTTTCCTTTGGAAACTGACGCATTGGCACCCCTCCCAGCCGTTTTGGTATTGGTCCTCGTTGGTGTGGACGGCTCAGCCAGTCGGCTTCCACATTCCATGCTCCCGGGATGTGCTGCGTAATGAACTTTCGAAGGCAGAGTTCCTCGGCCTTCAGCGCCAGCTCCGCTCCAATCCAGTTCAGCACCGGTGATGGCGCCGATTCTCTCGCCACCGTTGCAAGGGCCACCACGCTGTCTGCTCTGATCAGCACGGCCCGTCCTGATGGCCATCAAAATCGCCCACGCTTCCAGCGGGCCCTGTCCTGCTGGGTCATCCCATGGGATTCCCATCCATCGTGCGTACTCCTCCGTGAAGGGGATCTCGAGGGCTTCCGATGGCACTATCGCCCTGCTCTGTCGGTCAATGTCGGCGAAAATGGCTCCCACACCCCTTGGAGACGCATCTGTGATCAGCGCAAACTGAGCTGGTACTTGACGAAGTGGTTCGCGCCGTAAAGCAAACTTGTCCGGCTTGTCAGACATCGCAATGAACCACCGTCTAGGTAGTTCCATGCGATGCACCGCTGCCATGAAAGGTTTGGGTCTCGTGTCCTCTCGCTTGCTGGCCCTTTCATTTTCCATTCTGACGTCCACCAAAGTCTGAGATGATCGCGTACAAGATGTTGACGCCACCTGACAGCTTCCCTGTCACCGCTCTGGCCTCTCCGAGCGGCACCATGCCCTTGTTGTGCCAGCTCTCCAACGTCGATTTCACCTCGTTCATCATCTTGGGCGGGATGGAAAGTACCACCACTTCCTCGGCCAGCTTGAGCTCCATGCGCGTTCCGATCCAAACCGCATCTGTTCCACCGAACCCTTTGCGAAACTGCAACTTGACTCCAAGTGCTCCGCACATGTAGAGGATCAACGCCAAGTTTTCTCTTCTTCTCCATCTAGGCCCTTGTAAAATCCACAAGGGATCACCCATGTACAGCTGCGACTGCATCTCATCTGCAGGCATCAAAGACTGCAGCAGCCTTGCCAGCATTGCGGCAAACCTTCCCATGATCAGTGGTGCTCCTTTGAATCCAAAGAGCATTGCAGTGAACACCAGGTATCTACCTGGGTTCACTGAAGGCGCCACGCAGTTGCCCAATGTTGCCCAACTCGTTCTCATGAACTGCCAGGTGGCAGTATGTGTCAGACAAATCTGCCGACACCAGCTCCACTTCATCACATTGATCCTGGTCCTCCCAATTCTCCCTCTGCGCTTTGAGTATCAACCCAAAGCGATTTTCTCTCAGGTACTTCGAGCTGTCCAGGACGTCTCTTGAATACGTGGTAGTACTATTCTCTCCCTGACGCGGCATCTTTCATTGCCTCCACTGCGAAGCAAGTCGATGACTACTCGCCTCTTGACGGCGCCATCCTCCTTAAACTTGAGGATTAGGGCGACCTTGCTCATCGTGCCAACCGGGAACTGTTCACGTAGCTGTTCCTCAGTCAGCTCAATGCAGAAGGCCTTGTCCAGGTACCTTTGTACTTCAGCACGTGCATGACCTGGCTCCTCCAAGAAGCTCTTGTAGTTCTCCGCTCCAAGTTGTGCCTCCATGTCCGGCACCTCTTCAAGCTCAGTGTCCTCCTCCTCCGTCATGGGGAAGATGCCGCAGTACGGTATGCCCTCTGACATACCCAAGGGCGTTCCTGCCCTCACCCAAGACACCAAATCCATCTCTGGGTCTCCTGAATGTTTGCGCCAGGCTTCAAGTCCAGGCCTTCAGCACGTCCTCGTCCAATTGACAGTTCTCACTTCCATATTCTTCTGCAGTCTTGAGGGCTCGTGGATGTTCAGCCACAAACCTCGTCCACAACCTGCGCACATGTCTTTTCCCGCCTCTGCCAGTTTGACTGTCTCATGCCGCCCACATAGTTTTCATTCTCCCGTTCTCTGCGGCTTTTCTTTGATGGTCCTTCCGTTGGGCCAGAACTGTCCTCCACGTTGTCCGCCATCCAAACTCTTCGAGGAGCCTCCAAGACTTGTGCCGTGACTGGTGGAAGCTGTCTCTTCTCCTTGCTTGCCAGCCACCTAAGTTGTGCCTCGGACACCTCCTCCTTCTTCTCCATTTGCAGTGTGGTTTTGAAGATCTTCACAACCAATGTTGCATAGGCTCTGCATAGCTCTTCTGGGTACTCAGCCGCCTTCGACGCCATGCTCTTGCCCACCTGCGCCTCATGCCTGGCCTGCTCCATCCAGGGCAGGCGCACTTCTTTGCCAAGGTTCCTAACTCAGCCAAGCACCCCGTAAAGCGCCCTGGTTTGAACCACTTGTACCCCACCTTGGACTGGCAAGCGCAAGTGTTGAAGATTGCTGTAACTGCCCCCAGGTCCTTCTCGAAGGAGACAAGCTCTGGCAACGCCCAAGCAGGGCCTTCCTCCCCGTCTCACTGCCCGGTGGGTTCTCCAAAGTTCCTGCTGATGGGACCGATCTGCGTCTCTGGCTCTGGATGATCTCATTGATGACAATGGCAGATCTCACTGCCATGACCGTTCCTCGGTCCGCCTCTTGTTGTTGTGCTCGGCTGTTTGATGCCAAGCCATATACTTCACTCCCAGATCTCACGGGACCAGGGCCTTCCCTCGCCGTGTTGTACCTTGCCCGGTAGAAACTGCCACCCGCATGACCTCCATCATATTCCCCATTCTTGGCCTTCTGAAAAATGTTTGAAAAGGGTTGTTCTGCAAGAAGATCGTGACCCGGATTCAAGAGCTTGTCACACGACTCCACGCTCACCTTGATCCCCTCTTAGTCGCACTCCGCTCTAAGTGCCTCCGCTCAAACGTCGCTGGGACCTGCAAAAAGGTGAAGGAATTGGAATCTTCTCTCATCCCTGAACTGGCCAAAGGTGTCGCACCTCTTAAGGCACTCTTCTACTCTTTCTGGGATCTGAGCTGCCAGGCCATGTTCAGCGTTCGAAGCTCTGGACGAGCTTGAAGCTGTGCTCATTGTGCACCACGGCTGCAACATGCATTACACTGATTTGTGCAACCCTCAGTGACTCAAAACGACCTGAACCTTTTGCCTATCCACAAAACTTCAACCAACCCATGCAAACAATCTGAATCTTTCACCTCACGCTCCCGCCATAAAATGAAAAACTTCAACAGGACTCCCTTAATCCATCGCTGCCGCAACGGGGAAGCCCAAGTTTTCCAAACACGGGTGAACTCACTTCTTCGGGCACTGGGTGTTGTTGTGCCCAAGTGACAAACAAATTTGGCACTTATGCGCCCTCTTAACCTTGGCCTTGCACTCGCTTCCCGGGCTCAAACCTGCGCATGGTCCACTGTCCTTCGCCCAGGAGAAGCATATTTCCTCGCCTGATTGGTCCTTGCCCTGCATCTTGTTCTTGCCCTTGCCTCCGCCCCCTCCGCCGCCAGCACCTTTTCCGGCAGGTGGATGACTTCTCCATTTTGCCAGTTCTTCTCGGTCAGCTTGAGCGCGTCTCTTCTTAGCAGCCCTTTTGTCTCTATTGGCCTGCCTGCGCCTCTCATCTTTGTCTCCACTGCTCCCTTCTGCCTCATGCCCTTCAGCAAGTCCAGGAAAATGTGCTAATGCAAGAGCCTCTGACGATGCCATTGGTGCCCCCTTCGAGCCTGAAGCCAACCATGCTGTGGCTGGATGCCGTACTTGATCATTCCAGTGAGTTCCACCTTGAGCAACTAGACGAAACACCACCGACCACGGCCTGTCCTCGTTGAAGTCTGCTGGAACGCTCTTGTTGTTCAAGGCGTTCAGCTCTTGCCTTGTCATCGGCATGAGCGATTAATCCCCAATTTCTGGGCCATTGCGCCGTCATCTTTTCGATCGTCTTCTCGTAGATGAGCAGGGACGCAATCGAGCAAATGTGCAAAGAGATGGCCGCCACCTTGAACACCTTCCAGCTCGCCTGCCACTGCAAGAAATTTTGGGGGCCTGGAAATTCCCTGGCCACAAACGTTCTGTCCCCAACTAGGAAGAAAGCCCTCATCTTCTGATTACGAAGGGCTCTCCTCCCAAATGGGAGCCAAACCCCCATGTCAACATATGGGGCTTGTCCTAGTTGATTCACCCTCTTATCCAATGCCGCCATTTGTGCATCTGTAGGTTCCTCTTCCTCCATAGGCATGTCACCCATCATCTGCAAGTACCTTTGTGACCATGAGTGCGCCGTTTGCAAATCAGGTGGCACCAGCTCGCTTTCATCGGCTTGATCTACTAGTGCTGACATCTTGAGGACTTTCTCTTTCAATCCACTCCCTTTTGAAACATGCCCTAGAACTTGTGCAGAACTCCTCTGGTTGTCACTCGGTGCCCAAGGGTCCACGTCCTCAAACAATGCAGCATCACCACCCTTCTTGAGGTACATAGCCATCCTAGCAACTCGCCGGACCAATCTGACATGTGCTGCCTCTGTTGCTGAAAGACCTACACCTGCAACTTGTGCTTGACCAATGCCCTGCACCACAATGTGAGCTGGGAGTGCTGCAACCACTCGTAGTTCTTGTCCTGGATTTCCAACCTGCTCAAGGAACGCCTCCCAAACAGTTGCCGGCACCCTCAGCAGTCTAATGGCATCTGCAACCGTAGCCACTGCTCTTACCTCATCTTCGGCGGGTAGAACATCAGGCTGCACGCGAGTTGCCATTGGTCCAAACATGTTCAAGTTCAAGTCAGGCTTCTATTTTTGAGCCCGACTACAGTTTCAACACCCATCCCTCCGCCCTTCTTACATGCAGTTCATTGGCATGTTTGTCACAACTGGTGTTGTTCTCAATAATAATCAGCGGCACCTCCGGGGTCTATGTATTTATACATGTATCTCTCTCTATCTCTCTGTCTATCTATCTATCTGTCTATCTATCTATCTATCTAATCTAATCTACAGTAATCTAATCTACTCTACTGTAATCTAATCTCATCTCATCTAATCTAATCAAATCTAATCTATCCATCCATCCATCCATCTATCCATCTATCTATCCTGTATCTATCTATCTATCTTATCTTATCTTATCTTATCTAATCTAATCTATCTATCTATCTATCTATCTGTGTGCGCGTATTGAAAAGAACTCTCTATCTACCGATCGATCGATTGATCTGATCTAATCTAAGCTAAGCTAATCGATCGATCTATCTATCGATCTGTCTATCTGTCTATCCGCCTATCCGCCTATCCGTCTATCTGTCTGTCTGTCTATCTGTCTACCTGTCTATCTGTCTATCTGCGTATCTGCCCATCTGTCCATCTGTCCATCTGTCCCTTTGTCCATCTGTCTATCTGTCTATCTGTCTATCTGTCTATCTACCTGTGTATCTGTCTATCTGTCTATCCGTCTATCTGTCTATCTGTCTATCAGTCTACTGTATATTCATTTACTTGATCATTTAATCACCTATCATGTCTATATATCATAGTTTTGTATATAGTATATATAACTTATAAATATGATATGTCTCCGTGTTCGTGTATGTGCGCATATCAATTCAATATCCGAATATGATATCAGTCATCATTCACCATCACAGTTGCAAGTGCTTTGTGCCACGGATCAACGGACATTTGCACCTGCAAGCGGCTCATCCCCACTTCGCTCCGCAAGCCCACGGCGGAACCAGGCCGATGCACACGTCGCAGACCATCGATGTGAGGACTGGAAAACACTCCGCCAGCACCTGAGGAAAGGGATCTTTTTTTCATTCTAACTTTTCTATATGGTGTTTTTTCTGATATTTTCTGATCAACCAACGTCTTAGCTCTTTGCACTTTGAAGCTGGTTGATGATTTTATTCGAACAAATTGATTCCAAAAATGGATGAACATTTGACAACATGTGATCCTTTTTGCTTGCTCTGGCACTCAGTGGGCGTGTATCAAGGTCCATATCTCCAGCCCATGCCTCTGCCAATACCTGAAATTGACAGCTGGACAGTCGTACCTTGAAACAACAGACGCCGACAAGCAGGGCCTCCGTCGGTCTCAGCGGACTATGCCTGACCTCAGTCAGAGATGAGCCGTTCATAAGAGGGAGCTTTTGGGAAAGTATCAACCTGCTGCCATCAACTGCGAACACCCGTCAACGACCATCAACAACCTCCGCCGAATGCATCCCTTTTCCGCACACTGCCGCCGTTTTTTGGTCAGGGGATGGTGCTGCGCAAAGTCCTTTGGCTCAGAAATCTTGGCCCAAGCTTGAATGCGATCACAACAGTCTGGAGTTTTGCCTGCCGAAGGCATCATGAGGCTTGGGTGATGGGTGACTGTAAAATATGTCAAGAACCACTCAAGAGTCTTTGTCATGTGGACTTATAATGATTCATCCTTCCAGTCAATGAGGGCGAAAAATCTACCGACAACATATGATAATCTGTGAACTGATTGATATTTTGCAAACAAAACATGAATATCAAGAAGTCACTTCCAGAGCGTCAGCAAATCCATATCTACGTCAGATTGCGGTCTCCAAGAGCCCAACATGACATCCCAACCGCTGGATTTCCCAGGAACATCATACCAGTTGAGCCAGGGTGCTTGCTTACTGTTGTTCAATGTTGATCATATGTTGATGTTTTTTTTGTGTCTACTTTCCAATGTACTTTCCAAAGCATCCTGGTAAATCTTGCCATTCTGATCGTTGATCCCACCACGACCCCCATCCACTCATGGCACCCTGCAAGGACAGCAGCAACACTCGAAGGTCGCCAGGAAGTGGACTGCACACGCTACGAAAGCGGTTCCTTTCGTCGCGGAAGCCCAGGTAGTACCTCCGGGGTCGGGTCCTACTGGGCCACTGGGCCACGACTTCTACGGTGACAATCCTCAAACTGCTAGTCCCTAAGAATCTCTTGAGGTTCCAATGAAATCACCATCTTTCACTGGTTTCAAACTGGATTTCCAGCTCATGGCTTGTGATCATATATTATGAGGAATCTGTGGACTGGGGAAATAGCACATCCTTCATATAATGGAAAATTGAATAGTATAACATACGTAACATGGGGATACATGAGGGATTCCGTATGGAGCACACACACATACATGAATATACATATATATATATAGGTATAGTTATAATATATATATATAGTATTTATATAGTATTTATATAGTTATGTGATATATAGGGATAGTATAACCATGTATGAATTGGAAACGGGATCGTTAGTGCCCAACTTTTACCACGGCAGCGCGGTATGACTCAAGGGCCCTAAAGCCAAATGTCAACGGGGGCATGTGATCACTTGGCTATACAAAATATACATTAGACAGGTCAAACTCACACTCAACCTGTTCTTCAAGGATCACATGATGCTAGTGAAAAAGTTGGCTCTAAGGCTTCTTCTGTACACGATAAATGCACTCCTTCAAAACGCGGATGATGAGGTCCGGGCGCATGCTCTTGGTCAGAGCATCCGAGACCATAGTTCCTGTAGCAATCCAGGTAACAATGTCTCCTCCGCCATGATGCATATCCCAGGTCCTCCGGCCGTCTTGCCAAAGTGACTCATGAATCGACTGCAACTCAATGCCGAGTCGTTTGTCTGCGACCCTGCCGAGTACCTCATTCGCAAGATGGTCTGTTAAAGACCTGCAGTCTGAAAGCATCAGTTGTGGAATACAGCTGCGGCTGTCATCCAACCATGTTTTCATCGAGTCAAGTTGGCCCATCAGTTCGGCCAATGCTCCACGTAGCTTGTCACCGCTCTCTTGTCCAGCCTGCAGTGAATAAGCCTCGCATTGAAGAGTGCTGCGGCATACTCGCCGAATTGTATTTGATGCAAATCCCAATGGCATCACCCTGTAGGATGTAGTCTTGGGGTCTTTGATCTCATTGATGTCTCCAAGAAAATGGAAACGTCCTTGTTGTGATTTGTAGTTCTTCTCGTTTGAAAATGAAGCATCTGTTACTGTAATGATACCAACCTCTCCCCAGGTTAGATGTCCACCTGGAAAAATAAGTTTGTTCTCAATACCTTGTTGTGCCAGCTGTACTACGGCATTTGCGTCGTGCAAAATAGCGACTGTCGCTCCAGAAATACTGGACTGTAGGCGGCTCACACGATAACCCAAATCGGGTCTAGTCTGCCTTGCCACCCATGCCAATGATCCCGTTACAGATCGTAATCGGGTCACATCATCCTTACCCAACGGCTCGGACGCTGATCTTCCTGGCGCGATCTTGATCGGCTTGATGCGACGGGTGTTGTCACAAGTGTCTTGTGTGATTGTTCCATCTGCAGTACGCTCAAATTGCTTGCCACAATAGCGAAACGAATTTGATTCACTTGATCCCAAGTTGAACTTCTCCAAGAAGCTGTCGATCACTGACTTTCCCTCAGGAATGTATGCGTACAAGATGTCATCCACATGTGTCGCCATAAGTGCAACGCAATCTTTGTCGGTTCCTGGAAGGAAATACAATCCTGGGTAAAACTTGGATTGTTTCAAGCCACTGGATCGGGCATCTCCGTCCAACCTCAACCAAAAACCTCGACCGCTGTCAGTCAATCCATATATAGGCACCCGCACAAGGAAAAACACCTCTGGATCAACTCCCGGGAGACCTCCTCGGGGTTGTCTCATAATGAGAACTCTATCAAGAGGACGACCTTGGAAATATGCGGATGCGACGTCCGCACTGTGCAATTGTGCGCCCTGGATCGCCGCCCAACAGCAAAGAATGTTGTGAGCTTCCGTATCTGCTGTAGGACTGTCTGATCTCAAACCTTCACTGACTTCGAAATTGCCGCATGATACCAACCGGCTCTTGAACTTTGGCATATATTCTTGATCTGTTCTTCCTTTCATAAATTGATTCTTATCAACATCAACCCACTTGCTGGGAATACATTGATGTCCTTCAGCAATCAACCTCTCAGCATCTTCTTTTGAAATTTCAACAACAGCAGCGAACTCCAGGAACTTGCTCCACTCCTTGGTTCTGGCATCCATGATGTTCTTCTGTACATCAGGTGATGCTGATTCATAGTGGATTGATTTCAACACTTTCTTACCTTGCTCTTCGTCCTCAGGGACTTCAACTTCCTGGGACAAAAATGATGCAAACAATGCTCGTGCTTCTTGTTGTTCTTCAGGACTTCGTTCTGAGTCTCTCTCACGAGCTCTTTCAAGATGTGTTCGCAATTGATGTGGTAAGTCATCCAAAAGTTCCCTTCGCAATGGCCAAGATGATGCTGACGGCGAGGATAGTGGTCCCAAAACGGAGCCACTTGGAGTAAGATCAGGCACAAAGGAGTCTCTTCGAGATGGCACAAGTGATGAGCCTCTCTCCGACTCAGGTTGTAACTGAGACTCTACTCGAGGTCTCACGTTGCGTTCATGACCTCCATCTCCTGGATGTGGTCTTTCAACTCTTCTCTCTGGGGTTCTACTCTGTGAGAAGATGTCTTCTTCCATTGGACCTGTATCTTCCTCCTCCTCATCTTCTTCAAAGAAACCGGGCCGTATATCCCATTCATCTTCAGATACTTCTGGTATAGGAGGGAGTGCTGAATCCACATTGCCTTCATGGACAACCTCAACATCATCTGCTTGTCCTGGACCATCACGAACAACTTCAACCTCATCTGATTGTCTTGCATCAAGAAACGCTTGTTGACCTGTATCATTGATGATCTTGTATGGAATCACAGGTTCACCGCTCAACACTGATTGAGCAAGAGCTTCAGAAGGAGAAGCAATGCGTATGTTGTGAGAAGCTACAAGTACTGGAACGTTACCACATAGTAACCATATGTTCTTCTGGTTCTCGTGTCCGATCACACGACATGTTGGTGACCAGGACGTTCCTCCTCGCTGATTGTCTCGTCTGAAAGTGACGAGGTCACCAATGTTGAATTCACGATCAAACACACTGGCATTGCGTGTCAACGCTCGTTGAACTCTTCTTGAACAATCAAGATGAACAAAAGCCTTTTGTGCCTCAATCCTGGCCAAATGTTGTAATGCAAAAATTGATGAAGGGTCATGTCGGGCCTGGATGGCTCCGAGCTGTGCGTGATCTTCCTCTGACATGAGTGAAGCTACACCACGGGGAGCTCGACCGAGCACCCACTGAGATGGAGAAAATCCTCCAACACGCGCGGAGTCGTTCTTCACACTGAGCACCTGTGTGATGCACGACTCAACCTGTTCTTTGGTACAAGCCCCAACTTCTGTACACACTCGCCTGAAAAGAGCCTTCAACAAACCACCATGCCTCTCTACTCGGCCCAATGATTCCGGGCTCTCAAGGGGCACATGGTGCACTTGAATGTTATGTTCATCCATGTATTGTTGTAAGACACCACGATTGTGCAAACCACGGTCACACATGATAGCAACAGGATGTCCTGCCCAACTGAACCAACGTTTAATGAGTGCGTCCAAACAGGATCGCGAAGAAGCTTGACCTGCTCCAACCTTCACAACCTCAGCCTGTTGAAAACAAGTACCAATGCAAACCATGTTGAGAACTTGATACTTCTGTCCAGTTACATCTGTCAACTCCAATACATCAATCCCCAAAGTATGGTTGAATGTATAATCACTTGGAAGCGTAACTTTGTGAGTGGGTTTCTTTGCTGATGTTTTCTCACATGTTTCACATCTATGCAACTTCACTGCATCAACAAACTCCTTACTCACCTTTGCAGCACGCACCAAATTGACCATCACCGACTTGGGGACATGTCCAAAAGCCCTGTGCAATCTACGCACAGCAATCCTGACACGCTGGGGAAGTTTGCGCCAAGACCTACGTCTTTCTGTTTCATCCTCTGGCAAACCAGGGATATCAACTTCATCCAAAAGAGTCTCTTCATGTGTCAGGTCCTCAACTGGATCCTGCAATGCAACATCTTCCGGGCCATCGACTGCATCCCAGTTCCCACCATGTTCCTGAGCCTCTTCGATGATCTCTGCTGGAAAGGCAACGCTCATCTGCTCCTCCAATTCACGTTCAAGTGACCAATCACGAATCCATTGACAAAACTCCCAATTCAAAACGTCATCCAATTGTCGATACATAGACCAGTCTTGAAAACCTTGAATGAGTTCATCATCATTTGACACAAAAGCAAGACCAACTTCATTGATGTATGGTATCTGTGGTGTTTTGAATGATTCCCATCGTTCAGTGTGTGCGACATCAACAATGAGAAACCTACACCCTGTGGCATCACAATACTGTTCCAACTCAAATACAAGATCCCCATGACACAGTGGATAATGTTCTGACTTGTATTCAATTGCAACAATGACCAATGTGCAACCTTCGAACATGTCTTTCCAACCGTGTTGCTCAGCATCACCGTCCAAGTACGCAGCATTCATGCCAACGTCATAGGTGTGCTCGAAAAAATCCTGGAAAAGAGTCGGATGCGACGTGATGACTGCAACCCCTGAAGTACCATTGGAAACTTGAGGCTGCATCCCAAGACTGGACTGCATTACCCGGTCATGGTTGTTGAGATTGTTGATACCTTCCAACACCATCTTCCTGTGTTTCTTGCTCATGGTCCTCCTCTCATCAGGATGGACTGTCAAATCAACGTTGGAATCAAAACGCACAGCCATGAAACCAGTGGGAGAATACTCATAGTCATATTCATATGAATCGGAATCATCTTGTTCCAACTTGGGCGTCAAGACCTTTGGCTGGGGCTTCGACTTCACTGCATACATCCTTTTGGGTTCTGAGGATTTCATCTCAACTTTTGGATTCAAAGACTTTTCAAAATCATCCCTTACGTCCCGAAGTTTCTTGTTGGGGGTCAACTTGACGTGAACGCTCATGTATGCTCCCCTCCCGGAGTCATCGAACACCCCTGGTGGGTGGTGAAACACGACCACGTCAATCCACGAGTTCTCCAAACGCACCATTGTATTGCCATCGACATTGTCTTCGATGAGCTCCCAACCTTCATCCAACACTGCAAAGACATGGGATGACCTGGCAATGTCAACAGTTTCAAAGTTCATGTAAACCAAGTCTTGAGGGTATTGAATGTCACTTCCATGCAAACAAATGCCAACGTACCCAGCTAACTCCCTGCCCGAGGGGTCGCCGTGCCCATCTTCATTGACAAGTGAAAAACTGTCCTCTTCCTCTGTCACGTCATTGATGGCTTGATGGAGTAGTTCATGTAGACGTGCACGGGTCATGACCTCAGATTGACAGGTTTCGGTAACAAGAGTGGCAAACAAGGGTAACAACTCTTCCAACTGGACTGGATTCAATCCATCCGATTCTTCAACCAATGATTCAACAATGGGGACTGTTCGAACTGATGCTGTTTCAACCTTCTTGGCAATGGCAACACGCTCCTTGCGAATCTGCATAGGAGCTTCATCAATGAAAGTGCAACACTTCTTGCAGAAAGTACGGTGTGTTGATTTGCTGGATCCCCTAAAATCGGTGTCATCATGAGGGCAATTCTCAGGGGACATCAACGGTACCATGTCACGCCTTGTTGTTTCGGAATGACCGCACACAAGACAGGTCTTCCTGATGGTGTACCCCGTAGAACCTTGTTTTGTAAACTCACGACATTCCTGACACTTGTTCGGCAAAGGAGGATTTGGGGGTTTCTTTCTGCCAGTTCCCCGAGCCACCAACAAATCTCGGTGCTCGACATGCTCAACAGGGACTTCGCGCAAGTGAATCCCATCAGCACCAACCACAAAGTATTTGTCAACCCAATTCAACCATGTGACATAGTATGGACTCTTGGGGGTATGTTTCTTGGCATGATGATAGTACCCTGTCTGTTCAAACAACACATTCCAAAACGACAAACCCCTGAATTGTCCAACAGGAAAGATGCACCCATGATCCTCGGGTCTCATTGTAACATCGAGATCCCGGGAAATCAAGCCAACGTTGCTGCTGGACGCTGCTGCACGTGAAGGTCGACTGCTGGGCTTCGCTTGTCGAACTGCCATCATAGCAACTCCATCTCTGTCACGATCAGGTGAAGCCGTCAAAGTCACACCATCGTCATCTGAAGAATCGCTCATGTCGGCAAAGTGAGCTGCGGGCTTTGGGGCTGACTTTCCAGGGGCTCCGGCTTTCGACCCCGGGAATTTACATTCCGGGTCACCGGCCCAGTGCCCTATGACTCCGCATCTCAAACATTTGCTCTTCGACTTCAGCTCTGTGAGCTTCCGTCTTCTCTGATCGATCGTGAGGTTGGACTTCACGATCTTTCCTTTCCCCTTTCCTTTGGGCTTCCCGAAGGATTTGCCCTTGCCACCTGCTTTCCCCATTGCGGTGAAAGCAGCAAGTTGTAGCTGGATGGCGTCTCCTGCTTGTCGATCGTCTTCTGCACCTTCAAGTTCAAGCAAGCTGTTCAATGCAACTGCTTCGTACTCATCGACATCGTCAAAGTAATCAAATTCGTTGTCACCTTCTAGGTTTCCTGGCTCCTCTTCCGCAATGTCACCAAGCATGCCAACATATGAATCATCCTCCCAGGATTGATCCACAGCTTCATCCCAAGATTCTGCATGTTCCTCCCCATCATCGGGGTAGGCTGCATAGGCTGCTTGGGAATACGATCCCTTCGAAGAAGGTTTGCCTTTGCCATAACCTTTGCCTGACGACTTGCCATGCTGTTGAGGATTACCACGTCCTGTCCAGGATCGTGACCCTTCTCGCAAGTGAGTGCCACTGTAATTCTCGATCAGCACCTTGCCAACACCTTCAAAATCCTTAGTGTCTGCACAGGCCTTCACAACGAGGATCTCCTGTCGATTGAGCCCACTCAACTCCAACATCAACTCTGTCCTCAAGCTGTCCGAAAACACCATTGTGTCATCCAACTCGCAAAGCATGTGCCACCAACGTCGTCTCCTCTGAACATAGGAAAGCATGGGTTCGCCTGGCTGGCGAGACAAAGGTCCACCTTGTTTCTGTCCTGCACGAAAAAGTTCCTTTGCTTCCTCACGAGCTCTTGGAAACACATGGGATCTGATCTCACCCACAAGTTTCACTAAGCCACCAGGTTCGGACAACACTTCAAGTCCAAGATCCCTAGCTATTGAGAAAGCATCTCCTCTCAGTCCTTCGATCACCTTGTTGACCAATGGTCCACGATCAACATCTGTCTTCTGCTTGCCGGACTTCGAGGATTTCCGGCTCGCTCCAGACTTCGGAGTCGAGACCGCTGATGTAGGTTGGGCTGCTTGAGTTGCACCCGACAAATCTGGAAAAGTAGCATACTCATCTGCGTCTTCTGCGGCAGGCTCTGTTGCTGTGGTCCCAACGGGATCCGCAGACTTACTTGTCTCCTCCAGTTGTTGCTCATAAAGACGAATCCGAAGGAGTGTCCTGAACTGCCAATCATGAAAGTTCGCCGCATCACCTGCATAGATGTATGATCCACTCTTCGTCTCAAGTGGTGCCGACGAATGGCGTTCCTGATTGAAACGAAGGCCATTGATCGACATGATGCTCGCTCCGTTCGGAGTCGAACAAGGAAAAACGTTAACAAGTGTCTGCCCTGGTCAGGGTCAGACAGATTCCCGAACCACGACACACTCGAAGTTCAGTTGATTCCCAAAGTTACCAGACTCAAATTCACAAAGGGTTCCCTGGGTCACTGACGTACCACCGGATGCAGGTCGTCACCTGCTCCGCTACCAATATGAATTGGAAACGGGATCGTTAGTGCCCAACTTTTACCACGGCAGCGCGGTATGACTCAAGGGCCCTAAAGCCAAATGTCAACGGGGGCATGTGATCACTTGGCTATACAAAATATACATTAGACAGGTCAAACTCACACCATGTATAACCAATATAACCCCATGGGAATCTCACCCCAACTCCTCCCCGCTTGGTGCCGATGCAAAAAGTTCCGCGGACAGCGCTGGGCGTCCAAGAGGAAGGTCCAGAGCGAGGTGTAGCGCCCGTCGGTGACCTCGAAGGTGAAACATGCTGGAACTACCGGCTGACATTCACATACCCTCTGGTAATTTAACATAACTATTGAAAAATTGTGATTTTCCATAGTTATGTTAGTTTACCAGAGGGTATATATATATATATATACGTATATATCCCATATACCTTCCAATGATCATCCATTATTACCTAACATTTACCTAACTAGTTACCCGGCCTGGTAAATATACAAAGTTAGCTGTTGAAAATGGCCATAGAAATAGTGGATTTTCCCATTCATAGTATTGTGATTTGATGTGGGAAAACATCTCTGGTTGGTGGTGCAATAACATGTTTTAACCATCTTGAAAAATATGAGTTCGTCAATGGGTAGGGTGACATCCCATATATGAAATGGAAAAATAAAAAATGTTTGAAACCGCCAACCAGATATGAAATTTTATGAACATGAATCTAAACATGACTTGTATTATACAATCAGAATATTTTTCTGAATCATATTTGATTCTTTTACATGAAGATAACACAGTCGTATAGAATTATTAATTGTACACCGGTATGGCTTGAGCTCTCGATGTCCCAAGTTTGGAAGCCATCAGGTGCGCTGAGATGCGCTATCGCCCATCGCCCCTCTAACGAGGCACAGTTGGATGGCCGATGTGGGATAAGTGCGATCGAATTTGATGTCGTCGTCCTGTGCCAATGCCTCGGTTCTTGAGCTCGCTGGATCGACAAACCGAGTCGGCAATCGCCAAGGGGCGGATCAGCAGCAAGGTCGTTTGAGTCCAGGGATGGTTTGCATGTGCCAAGACCTGGATTTCAGGTGATTTCAGGTGATTTCAGGGGTTGCTTGTATTGCTTAACTATCTTAACTACCCCCACAAAGAAAGATGAAAAGATGGTCAAACCGTTGAACCATGTTGAACCGTTTGAAGCCCTAAGTTGCTAAACAATGCTAAACACACATGTCAAAACACAATTACACGCATCAAACATCTCATCATAAAGTCTCATAAAGACATATAAAGGCATCATCAACATCTGCCTGTTTAACATGTTTAACGTTTAACATGTCGTAGCCCTGGTGTCGTAGCCCTGGCCGCCTTCATCCGCGTGAGCGCCGGCTTGCCACGACCTCCAGAGATGGTGCGGCCCCTGTCTTCGATGAGCACCTGGGAGCTGCTTAAGCCATCAAAAAGCCATCAAAAAGCCATCAAAAAGCCATCAAAATCCTCCAATCTCTCAGTTCAAGAGGATCCAAATGGATCCAATATGACTTTTTGAGGCTTTTTTGATGGCTTTCTGATGGGTTGTGACCATGGTTTGACAGTTTAACGGTACCTGCTGTTACTTAAAACTGCTGGGTCCCCCAGAAAGGTCCCCGCGCCTGCGCGGTGATCTCCATGAGCTCCGGAACAATCCAACCGTGGCTCAGCACCAAATAATCCTAAGACACAGCTACCGTTTGTCAATGATTAATCATGCTAGTTATATGATATTATATAATGCTACATGTATACATGATAACACATGATATATCATGATAATACATGATATATCATGATATATCATGATAATACATGATATATCATGATATATCATGATATATCATGATGAATCATGGTTAATCAGATATGGTATACACCTACTCTGATCCGTTTTTGGCTTCCCTCCCCATCTTTGGCCCACTGAAACTGGCATCACATCAAGGTTCTCGCGGAACTTGTCGGGTCACCAGCTGCACCTTCCCGGTTGGGGGAAAACCCTGTGCGCCAATGTTCTCCGGGACGATCCGGAATTCATCGAAACGGGTGAAAAATCATTCGAAACTGGTGACATATGGTGAATTATGGTGACATGGTGATGCAGTGCATTAGAAATCATTAGAGTACCAAGAATTGGCTGTGAATCCTCCCAAATGCGCCTGTAGATCGTAGTAACTCCGGAACGACTTGGCTGCTAGAATTAATCCAGAGCTTGGGACGTCCAAGCGATGCAAAAAGCCTTGGTGGTCCCCCATGGTCCCCCTGGTTTGGCCGTGGCCATGGCCAACATGAATCCAACAGTGCTTCAAACCACAATAAGCCACATGAAGGTGAATTGGATGAGCTATGAGTTATGAGCTCACACATCTCACTCTGAAACCATTTTTGCCATTGCAAAAGACATCAAAAGACTATACCCTCCGCACAAACATCGGCGCAAAGAACTGTTGAGCCCGCCGTGGGACCAGTTTTTGTGACTGGGTATATAGGAAAGCCACCATGGAAGGCCAAAACTGCCACCATCCATCAGAAAAATCATCGTTGAAACCCAGATTGGTTGATATCATTGATGATTCTTTGGGGGTTTCCTTTTGTTCCAAAGGATTCAGATGATTCAGGAGCAAAACTGCCCAGAAACCATGCTCATGTTGTTCATCCTTGAGGATTTTCAAGGGGCCAAACATCGCCTCCATGAACCCAGCCAATTGCAGTTCGCTGTTCTCATCGTGCACTTCCCAGTCGGGTGGTTTGAACAGCACCACACCTTGGAAAGGGATAGAAACAAGGCGTTAGCCACCACAAATTGTGGGCTAATGGAGGTTCAACCACCAAAAATGAGCCGAATACATGGTTGGAGCTGGCATCATGTCGCTGGATACATGTGCTGCAGGGTCTTGAAAACCCACTAAGACTAAGACACTATCTGAATCTATGTGCATATATCTGCATCTATCGCTTGCAATGCTCAAGAGCCCTTTTTGTTCAGCTGGTGCAGACTGTTCACTGGTGTACTGTACCCACATTACATGACCAACTCCCACGCTGAGCTATTGCTCAGTGCCATGGTCATCTGTGGATCTACATCTCGAGAATGGTGCTCCTTCTGAAACGCCGTGGGCGCAGATTGGATGTGGTCGCCCATCGCCCTGTATGGGAAATGGGGGCAGGAATGAATGCCTCTGACTTGGCATGTTTGGGCTTGAAGAACTGGAAGAGTGAAGCAAGCCGTTTTAGGAAGCCAGGTTTCCTGCGATCCTCAGCTCCTTCATCTTTGGTTTCCTCCTCAGCTGGTGCTGGTGCTGGTGCTGGTGCTGCTGGTGCTGGTGGTGCTGGTGGTGCTGGTGGAGGTGGAGGTGGTGCCGGTGCAGGTGCTGGTGCTTCCTTGGGGACCCCGCGACCCACCTGACTTACCTCCTTCACTTCCTCTGTGAGCGACTGCACTGTGCGGGTCATTGTGCTGGGAAGCTGCCGAATGGCCGTGCCCATGTCATCCGCCAAGTGCGGATGGGTGGCCCAGTAGTGCAGACCCAATGGCAGGACCACAGTCACCAATGGATACAGGAGAATCAGAGCCGCCTTGGCGGCTCGGCTTCGCATCCCGCTGGGAGGACAACAGGTGCAAACTCCCAAGTAGAGAATGCCCAGGTTGGACACCACCGTGTTGAGGGGAGCGTAGCTTCGCAACGCAAACAAAGGCACCAAGAAACACAAGAAAAAGCCAAAGACCAAGAAATGCCAGGCGCGTTTCACGGGTGCCACCACTTGGTCATGCACGGCATTAGTGATGTGTTCCTGACTCCTGGCTGCAAAACCACCCGCCGTAGAGGCGGCAGCAGCCGTACCACTCTGCACCACGTTGCCCATGGTGTCGGTGGCAGCGCGCACCAACCCAGGCACCTGTGGAGCGCCTTTCTGTATCGCCTCTTTGGCCGTGTGCCCTAAGTCACGGACATCCTGACCCACCTCCACCACTTCATTCTTCAAAGTTCCCAACAGTCCATGTTTTTGGACGTTGTACTTGGTCACATTGATTTCATCCTGGAAGTATTCCGGCCAAGATCGGACCTCACAATATTCCTGTACACATGCTTCACAGGCCTCCAGAGTCGTTGCCCCTTGAAGGTCAAGCTCCTCATCGCGCCCGTGGCTTCTCCTGAGCTCAATTCGTGGCGAGAAATCATGGTGAATCCGCTATTCACTGCATACATACACTGACATGCACAATTAGTAGCTATTCGCACAGGAAAAAGGATATATGACACTTTCTCCGATATAAACTTTTCCAGTCAGGAAAAAACATGCATACAATAGTTCAAACATGTTCTCCCCACCTTTCCCGACCCAGTTGTTTTCAAACTCCCCAACTTCCTCTTGCTCTGTCAACACCCACACACATCCTTTTAGTTCCACACAACATGAAAAATAAGCAAACAAGTCCAATCATGAATAAGACACATCAAAAGAATCTTTGAAATAGTACCCATAACACCGGCCCATAACCATATAGAAATACGTACTCCATCTTTTCTTCATCTTAACTCATCTTTTCTTCTCATCTGAACGCATCTTTTCACTTCTTTTTTCTTATGGAGATTCTCCAAGTCTCTGATACATTTCCATGACTTCTTTGCACATCTCCTCGGAGGCCGTGAGCTTCAAAAAGCTGTCCGACATGTCCGGTGTGGCCTCCGGCGGCGCGCCGGCCTTGCGCACGGCGATGCGCTGCTGCAGCGCCAGGACGTCGCGCTGGAGGCGCTCCAGGGCCTTGAGGACCACGGCGCGGGTCACGGGGCCATCACCGGAACCGGAACCACCTGGAGAGACCAGAGCAGAGGGATGGGGATGGGGCTATTGTGGCTATTGTGGCTATATTGTTATGGCCTTTTTAATGTATTTTGATGTATTTTGTTATGGGGAAACTGGGGAAACTATGTGGAAATCAGGTACAGAAACTAGTGGTTTGCAAGCTGGGTAAGCTACAAGGAGGAAAAACATCACTCATTCGTGTGGAGCTGGGGCTGTAAATGAGGCATGTGCAAGCAGGGTAGTCAGGAGTTTCAGCAGCCAAGGCTATCAAAAAGCTACTTCGTTTCTCTTACCCATTTGCCTAGTAGGTGGAACATGGTTTATGGCAATTTTAGATGTTGCATCGATGTTGCCAGAATTCGCTTAGAGCTTGGTTCCAGTGGGTTCTAGAACCTCAAATAACTGGAGATAGGCTGGCTACTGACAGTAGCCAGTTCAACAAATCCTATGTCCCATGGGCCATCCAAGTGATGGACCCAATGGAGCTGTAGAACTGGATATGGAAATGGATGAAATTGCGGGAATTGGATGGGCCTTGCGGGAAACCATGGGAAACCAATGCAGATCTGCGCCACAAGTGGCGGGCCAACAAGAACGGGGATGGAACCCATGAAACTGGCCATGGAAAAAAAAGGCAATACACATGGGGATGCCCATGGAAATTCCATGGAAATTCACGCCCCAAAAATAGTTCCAGGATGGATTGGCAGTATAACTCCACACAAGACCAGGAATCTGGACAGGAATCTGGACCTGCAGATGCAGATGGTGCCGGACTTGGAGCGTGTGGAAAAATGTCCTGGTAGGTGAGCACCTTCATGTTTTTCTTTGCAACCACCTTGATGGTGCCGTCGGAATGGAGTTTCACCCGATATCTCAGCTGCTTGTCATCAAAACCCACCTGGCTCACGCTTCAGATCGTCGAATGTCTCGGGATGTTTGGGTCTGAAGACTGGGTACACCCCAAAATGGTGATCTTCATAGGAAACATATCGAAGAATCATGATCAACCATCTAATTTGGGGTAGACAACGATATATATAAACTCGATTTTTAGACAGCCCCTTTTTTAGGCACTCCCATTTTTTGGATGGAAAAAAAAACATATATATATAATGTTATAGAAGTTCATATTAATAATCACCCCCGGATTAATCAACACCCACATTCCAAAAAATGTGTGGCAATACTACTTTGCGTTGGTCCCTCCCTATCAATAAACATGTGCAACCCCTCCAATGAAACAAAACCCTGCACAGAAATACTAATTTTGTGGTAGTCAGGATGTAATTACGTTTTAATGGTTTTGATTTTTTATTGATGAACAAGTAAGTAATGTCTTGAAGGGATGTCCCATGTCCAATCTCACCATCGCACCCCTCATTGGGAAGGTTGCCACTGAAAAAAGAAATCTCGACCCATTGGCAGACAGGTTGTTTTTTTTTTAATATGACTATGACAATAAGCCCTATTTTTTTGGGGGGGGACTGACTCTTACCTTCAAAAAAAGGCTTATGAAGCTGCCTTGGCATCTAAAATTAAAAAGAGATACACCATGATAATTACATCTGTGGATGTAAGAAATCCTGCACCAGTTGATAAGTGGTTTATCCCATTAATGATAGGGTTTCAACCATACTTTTGGTGGTTTATCGGATTTCGCTGGCCCATCCACAGTACATCTGAAACAGGAGCCAGCGACAATTTCACCACGCTGGCCATTCAGCGCCTGCGCCTTTTGAAGGCTGTGGAGTTCCACTTGGGCTCCGTTGGCCAACCACTCAGGATCTCCATCAGAACGACGATCTGGAAGGTGGCTGCTCGCCTGAAGGGTTCCATCCAACATGGAGAAATTCCATCCATTAATATGTATATATGTATATATATATGTACGTATGTGTGTGTGACGATAATAAGAAGAAGATGAAGAAAAAGAAGAAGAATGAGAATATGTAAAAAACAATTGATAATATATATATATATGAGCCGCCGTCAAAATCAATTGTTTATGCCTGATACAAAAATATAAGTTATCGCTCTTTGGGGGGGGCCCTATCGCTTTCCAGTGTTTTGTTCAAATCAACACGAAATACTGCAAAAATGCAAGGGAATTAGCTTCACGGATTCAGATCTAAACTGCCGGGGATGGATTAAGGGCCTTTCGTTGTCTTTGCGTTTGCAACCATGTTGGGGAGCTATCTAAGCACATTCCTAGACTCTTTCCTAAGCAAGGAAATCTGTTACGATCTCATCTCCGAACTAGAAAGACCGTATTTGATATAGACCAATGGTTCCAAAAAAGAAGCGTTCGTAGCTATGAAGAAGTGCATTAGGCTCCCCAAGTCTGAATACAACGTGGTGGCCTGGTGTCGAGAACCTGTTCACTTTTTTGTTGAGCCCTTCTTCTTCTTGGGATCAAATGAGTCTATCCCTCCTCCGGGGTCCCTTTTTCAACAAAAGGTTATCGCTAGGTTATCGCTAAGGTTATCGCTAAATTGGAACACTTTGACGATCAAGAAAGGAAAGGAAAGAGGAACGTAGAACAAAAAGGACAACTGAAAAAACAGAAGGAGAAAGGAAGGAACAAGAAAAGGAAACAAAGGAAGAAGAAACGACAAATCAAACATGGAATGGATGGAATTCAGAACAAGATTCGTAATCAGAGTTGATTTGGTTCAGAATTCAATTGCGTTTAGTTTTAACTGAAAAAAGAAGGAACAAGAAAAAAAGAAAAAGAACAGGAAACAAAGGAAGACGCAATTCGAATTAAATCTAAACACACAAAGGGTATTCAGAATTAGATTTCAATCTATTGTTTGCTTAATTCAGAATTTGGTTGCGTTCAATTTGGTTTAATTCTACTGCTTTGGTACCTGGGAAGAAAAAAGCAATCTGCCTGCAGAAAGCAATGGCTCAATCACCTTGGACAGCAAATGAAATGGCAACTGCAAGAAACGCGGGCACTGCAGGTTGAATTTTCATCAATTTTGCCCACAGATGGTTACAGGTTATCGCTTTTTGGGAGAGGCCCTATCGCTTTACATGGTTTGGTGCATTTTCTCAACACGATTGGACCCTCCCTTACTAAAGTAATCTACGCTTATTTTGACCGTATCTCATATATATAATATTGAAAATAGTATCCAGGAAAAAATCCTATGAAAAACAACCCGCCGGGTTGGAAATGGGCCGAGTAAAAACAGCATTTTCATGTGACTGGCAAGAAGTCAATCATGCGTTTCGCAGTGTTTTTTCATGTTTTTATGTTGTCCATGAAGGTCAATTCTATTGTGATTTTGAATTTTCATTGGGATTTACTGTATATAGTTGACATGTCGGAGTGCGAAAAAGGTTCCTTTTGGGAAGTCAGCGTGCCCAAAACCTCAGCGGCAGCCATTTTTTCCGGTGATCTCTACATCTTCGCTAAGTACGCACCTGTTTTCTCCAACAGGGCTTTTCCAACTACATTTGCCTCCCATCGCCACTGCCATGTGCGAACGTACGTCCAAATCAGGTCATTCAATGTTTGTTCGTTTTCTGGGCAAGATGTCAACTGATCGGGAACACTGGCTTTGATCATACGCCAGCACGAGTCGATGGTGCCAGTATGAACCCAGAAGGTTTTTCCAGCATGTCTGCGGATCTTTTTGACAAATTGGTTTTTGCGATGTGAGCAGGCAAAATGTATCAGCTTGTTAGCCGATGTCAATCCAGGGTAGCACTTTGCGCCATCTGAGCAAACAAGTAAACGTGCTGTGGCGTAACATCATGGGAGTGCGCAAGTACGTGAACGTTATTGCCCCACCCCACCCCACCCCACCCCTGCGTGACACATCTTCAACGTAGCATGACGTATGTGCGCACGTGCAAGTGAACGTGCCGTGGCCTAACATCATGGGAGTGCGCAAGTACGTGAACGTTATTGCCCCGCCCCACCCCACCCCTGCGTGACGTGACACATCTTCAACGTAGCATGACGTATGTGCGCACGTGCAAGTGAACGTGCCGTGGCCTAACATCACGGGAGTGCACACGTACGTGAACGTTATTGCCCCACCCCACCCCACCCCACCCCAAGGAACATATATAAAAATGCCTAAAACGCTCGGACGGTTTTCAACCCGTAGGCAAAAACAACATCAGGTAATCAACATCCAATGATCCAATTTTAGATCCAGGATCTCTAGCGTATTTTCTGCCAATTCCCCAGTCAAATCCGATAAACCACCAAAAGCATGGTTGAAAGTTGAAACCCTAGAAATCATGGGATAAACCATCAACAACCCTATAATATCCTATAATTAATGGGATAAATTGGGATAAATCATCAACTGGTGCAATATTTCGCAACCATCCACAGTATGGTAATAGGATGGAATAGGCAGTTCGATGTAACTTGACGCATCTCCAGTTCTTCCCCCAGCCTCTTCCTGCATCTGCCGCAGCGCCTCCGCTTCCTCCGCCGACAGCGGTCCACTGGTCATGGCGGACGCAACGACGCGAAGCGGCGACGTGAAGCGGGGCTCGAGCTGTCGGGCATGGGATGGGACTGGGATGGTCCAATGGTCCATATTTTGGGGCAAACCTACAGTGGCCCATAAAAAACTCTCAGCGGTTGCATTGCCAACCGCAATTTTCCCGTGGACGAAGTACGCAATTCTGACCAATTTGATCCTGACATCACCATTTCTGCAAAGGCGCGGTCCCCTGCATCCATCACGATGTGTGGCGCGGTGTCAGGCTTTTGCCACGGCGCCTCTGGAAGCGTTGGGAAATCACCCGTTGGACGGTCCAGAAGGCCTCACAGGGCTCCACCAGGGGTCTTTTGCTGCCATCTTGGGAGGTGGAGCAAGCCCAACGGATTGCTTGTCGTGTTTTATTATTGTTTCAGCACGCTCAAATATATTTTATCTATTTCATATATAATTATATAATTATATATATAATTATATATATATACAATGTGAGGCCCCCAAGATAGCTAAGTTGGTTTATAACTCCAATAACTGTGGTTTATGGTACTTATAACTATAGTTACTGGGGCTTATAAACCAAGTTATAACTTGGGGGCCTCACATTGTATATATATATATTCTTATATATTCATCTACTTCATAGCGTGAATATGCTCATAAACAATCAATATAATTTAATAGTGCCTACCTGCTCCCCAGAGCCATCCAATCAGGAGGAAAGCATCATGCCTCCCAAGCGCACGAGCGCGGCGCGGATTCCATGAAAAGCACTTTGCGTCAGGCTGCCCGAAAAGGTGCATGCCCACATTGAGCCTCCAAGCTTTGCACAGAAATACATCAGAACAATTCAGAACATAATTCCCATCGTAGCCCCATATTTGTTGATTCCCCATGAAACCTCCATAACATCCCGAAACTGCCACTAGATCCCTGTTGTCATTCACATCTTTCTGCCTAAGGCATCCAAAGCGATCTTGTGGCGGAAGCGTGGTGGCAGGTTGGCCCATGCCTTGAAGGTGTAAGGAAAAGCAAGTAGTGAAAATATGTGAAAATGATAGCGCAGGTCTTTGATGGTCTTGGTATAGCATTAGAATTCCGGCGTTTTTCTTCAATTAGCCATCTTCGGACTGGTTTTCATATGTTTTCATTCTGTAAAGACCAAGGCCTGTAGAAAATTCACTCACCAAATGCAGCGCAGCGTCGAAGTTGGCTAATCGGTCGGCCAGCTCTTTTTGAAAGGCCCTCTGAACTTCATCATCCTGGCAGCGCGTTTTGGTCTGGAACCCTGGAAGTTCCTGGAAGCTTCTACCATCTTCTACCTACCTGGACCACTGAACCACAGGCTGCCCAAATGACCACCAGCAATTCATCGAAGCTGAAGTTCTGTATTTGATCCATGGCTCTTTCACCTCGGTATCCAACATGAACAAACTCCCCGCAGCAGAAATCTGCTGCGGCATGATGTGCATTCTGATGCATACCATGGATATGTCCCAAAAGTGGGGGGCACATGAAAGTACAGGGACCACGAACCATTGATTCCAGGTTCCTAAAATGACAATCAATTTTGAACAAACCCATCTGTATCAAGTAGCCCAATAGAAACATCTTGACATAGGAAATCAACCACTGGATCTTTTTCCTAGACACATCACATCTCCATGACTAGCTGCAACCTGGCGGCTTAAGATCTTGATGAAGTCATGGTTCCTAGCGCCCACCATGGATGCAGCCCACCTGACTCACAGTTTTTTTGGGCGCAGTATGGCGCAGTGATGGGAGCCATTTGACCTCCTTTCTTTGGGGATTCGGCTGAGGAAAATAAACCCAGGTAATTGGCCACACTTGAGTGATCTGTGGACATCTGCAGTCGCGGGTTTATTCTCTTTCGTCTGTCTGAAGTTTGTTTACTATTTACATTTATTTATGATTTATGATTGATAATCATATATATATATATATGTAATGTATATCATTCTACCCATGTTCACCATTTACTCAGGCCAGTAAGTTTCATACCATACTATAGTACAGCTTCCAATGTTTCTATTACCTGTGTAAACTACTTACATTGCGCAGAAAAATGACGAGATGCGTATTCTTTTGCTAAAAATGTATCTATATTTCTATCATCTTCAACAGTTTTCTATGTCTAAATTGTGGCCCATAGGGTAATTTAGTTATTTTTTCTATAGTAAGGTAATTTACTGGTCCCCAAGGATATCCAAGGCACCACAAACTCGCCAGCTCCATGGGCTCTGCAGCTTCGTAGCGCAGGCGCTCAAAGGCCTCGTACACAGTGAATATTATGAGACAAAAACAAATAATTTGGACATAATATTAGTGTCTAATATTCCATAGATGTCCATATGTTCATATGTCCTAATTTGGACATCTATGGAATCTATGGACATATGACTTCAATTGACTTCATAATTCTTCATATGACACATCATTTAAATATCTTCTTTGAGCATGGAAGTCATATCAATAAATATGTCAGCCGCGCCTCCGCAAAGGCCGACTGTAAGGCCTCGGGATTGGCTGTCCGTCGCGACGCCAAGGCCCAGGGTAGGAAGGACACGGAGCGGGCCGTGGAGGAGGCCTCGGGGTCCACAGTGCAATGGGAAAAAATTGGGGAAAACTGATGGAAAATGTGGGGAAAAATGGAAAAACCCAGAAAAATTGGGAAAAAGAAATGGAAGATTTAGGACAATCCCCTGAACTTCCAAAGTGCCCAGTTAAACTTGCACGTTCTAGAAAGTACATGATTCACTGAAAGTAGCCTTTTCACTTGACCCTGAACAATGATATAGAATGGATATGTATTGATATATACATATAATATATATATATACACACCCCAGTATATAGAACCCTTAAGATATCCACCAACCACTACAGTATCAGCACAAACGTCCCGGAAGCAAGAACCTTTATACATATACCATGGAGAAACTAGAAGGATAAAAGCATATATCATTTATAAGTGACCTTGGGCCCCTGACTCATCAGAACCATTGACTTCAGCTTTGGCCCTGAGTGCCCTTTCTCGCGCTTTCCGGAGAGACTCTTGCACGTTCATGGTCCCCGGAACAGTAATAGTGTTGGCTATGAACCTGGCTACTGAATAAATTCACGATTGAAGAAACATGTTTTGAAAAAGTTTATTGATGACTCCAAAATCACAAGTTTTTCACGCACTTTCACGGTGAAATCACGGGTTTTTCACGCACTTTTCACGCTGAAATCACGCTTGAGTTTTTTCAAGGAAATTTCAGATTTTTTGAGTTTGAGTGTGAAAATCGCACTTTCCACGACACACTCGCACATTTTAATTGCACATGAATAGAAATCCCGTGGCCTTTCCCAACCCCTAAACTTAAAAATCTAGAGGGAAAGAAGGGGTATACCTACCATTAGCTTCCATTAGCAATCTCATCTTTTATGTGTGCCTTGAGAGGTTCAATATTTTGCCCAATATGCAGCTGACGCACAAAATTGTGCGCTACATTTTTTCATCTAAGGAAGTAGGGACATTTTGAGCCTTCATCAATCCTGCCATGCCCTAATTAATGGCAGCTTCCAATGTATACAGCCCATATCGGTCCATTTGCTAGCCAAGTAAACATGAACGGTGTGAAAGGTTCAAGTTAAACTGGTACTTTGTCAAGGTGCCCAGTTAAACTTGCACGCGGAAGTTCTGGGATCAGATCTAGTTAAATTGATATCTTCGAGAATTTATCCTTTCGCAGGACTTTCGAGTCACTTTACAATTAGTATACCCTGTTCTTCTGCGACCATTAAAATCCGTTAAATTTACGTGCTTCCAGGTAAGGACGTCAAATTGTACTCGACGACTAGTACTTTTTTAAACAGGGGTTGAAAGGGGTCGGAAAAACCGTAGACAGACCGTGGACAAACCGTAGACAAACAGTAGAAAGGACATTTATTTCATGTTATTTCCGTAGAACGGACATTTATTTCCGTAGAACGACTATTAATTTCCGTAGAACCCAGGTAGCCAAAAACGCTTGAAAATTGGGTCTACAATCTGCAGACTAGATTTTGAATCAATGGCAAAGAATAGTCTTTATCCAATTAATAGCCTTTGGCACCACGCACATTAATTTTTCCTGCTTTGGAAGTATAGGGATATCTTAATATATCTGAATATATCTTAATATATCTTAATATAATATATTAATATAATATCTTAATATAATATCTTAATATATCTTAATATATCTTAATATATCTTAATATATCTTAATATATCTGAATATATTGTAGAACCCCCGTTTGGCTTAAGACTGCTTTTACCGTTTTGGTGCAGGAGGGGGGGGGGGTATTGGTGCACGGCTGGGGCGCGGAAAAGGAAAATAGGGGCAAGGGGGGGTCTGGGAAGGGAAAAAAAGGTGCGGGAGGGGGTTCTTGCCAATCTATGGATCCAGTCAGGATCCCGTCGGGACCCAGTCGGGCACCAATTTTTGCATTTTTGGGCACCGCTTTTGGCCAGTCGGGATCCAGTCGGGATCCAGTCGGGATCCACCCAGTCGGGATCCATGTCGGGAGGCAGCCAAATTCATAAAAAATAGCATTTTTGCAGTGTTTTTGCATGTTTTTCGGTGATTTTGGCTGCTTCCCGACAGGTCCAAACGTGGTGCCAAAAATTCGAAAATTGGTGCCCGACTGGATCCCGACTGGATCCCGACTGGATCCCGAAAAGCGGTGCCCAAAAATGCAAAAATTGGTGCCCGATTGGGTCCCGACTGGGTCCCGACTGGGTCCCGACTGGATCCCGACCCGGTTTCTTCAAAAAAACACCTATTTCCTTAAATTTGAGCACCTATTTTTGAAATTTTAGCACCTTGCCGTGCACCACCCCTTCCCTCCGTTTCCCCCTCCGGACCCCCCCCCCCACCAGTCTTAAGCCAAACACGGGCTTGGCAATGAATATATGTTTATATATCAATATATCTTAATATATCTTTATATATCTTTATATATCTTAATATATCTTAATATATCTTAATATATCTGAATATATGTTTATATATCAATATATCTTAATATATCTTAATATATCTTAATATATCTTAATATATCTTTATATATCTTAATATATCTTTATATATCTTAATATATCTTTATATATCTTAATATATCTTAATATATATTAATATATCTTAATATATCTTAATATATATTAATATATCTTAATATATCTTAATATATCTTTATATATCTTAATATATCTTTATATATCTTAATGTATCTTAATATATCTTAATATATCTTAATATATCTTAACATATCTTAATATATCTTAATATAACTTAATACATCTTAATACATCTTAATACATCTTAATATATCTTTATATATCTTTATATATCTTAATATATCTTAATATATCTTAATATATCTTAATACATCTTAATACATCTTAATACATCTTAATATATCTTTATATATCTTTATATATCTTAATATATCTTAATATATCTTAATATATCTTAATATATCTTAATAAATACATCTTAATGCATCTTAATATATCTTAATATAGCTTTATATATCTTAATATATCTTAATATATCTTAATATATCTTAATACATCTTAATACATCTTAATACATCTTAATATATCTTTATATATCTTTATATATCTTAATATATCTTAATATATATTAATATATCTTAATATATCTTAATATATCTTTATATATCTTAATATATCTTTATATATCTTAATGTATCTTAATATATCTTAATATATCTTAATATATCTTAATATATCTTAATATATCTTAATATATATTAATACATCTTAATACATCTTAATACATCTTAATATATCTTAATATATCTTTATATATCTTAATATATCTTAATATATCTTAATAAATACATCTTAATGCATCTTAATATATCTTAATATAGCTTTATATATCTTAATATATCTTAATATATCTTAATATATCTTAATATATCTTAATATATATTAATACATCTTAATACATCTTAATACATCTTAATATATCTTTATATATCTTTATATATCTTAATATATCTTAATATATCTTAATATATCTTAATATATCTTAATATATCTTAATATATCTTAATATATCTTAATATATCTTAATATATCTTTATATATCTTTATATATCTTTATATATCTTAATATATCTTAATACATATATATATATATTATATAATATATCTTAATATATCTTAATTATCTTAATATATCTTAATTATCTTAATAATTATATATCTTATCTCAATATATGTCATGGATGGAGTAGGTCCAGTCGGAGAGTCCACCGGATTCGCAGCGAAGTGTCGTTGAAGTCATCCAGTACTTGCATACATTGCTGGCTGTTCTGCAAGCCATTGAATGCCAGGAGGAAGCTTTTCTGGCGCTCGGGTCGAACAACGTGACTGTCTTTTTACATGTCTAAACATCCGAAGGCCAATTCCATTCACAGGGGCCTATTGCAGGACAACCTTGGATAGCTGATAAATCTGATAATGAAGGTCAGCTTTTGGCAGGATTCGTGAATCTCTCCCAGTTGTTCGCTTCACAAGTTAGCCCACTAATTAAAATCCAGCATGGAATCAAATCGAATCTTTGCCAAGCTCAACAAATCTCGGCTTTACCCTTCAGATCCCTTCAGTAATTCGAGGTAGATCTGGAAACCGTTTGCAGATCATTTTCCCTTAGAGGACACTGAATTCCCCATCCGCCGGTGTCAGCGCCTCATCCATGGAGAGTCGTAGCTGATGCGCCCTGCTGAGGATCGCCATGGAAAGCCTCCAGGCATCCGGCAGAACGGCAGATGCAGCTGCAGTACCTCAGCATCGGTTCCAACATGGTTCTACTGTAATTACCCTGATCCATAAATATCATCTACCCACATGTTTACATTATATATGATATACATAATGTAGAATACAGTATAATATATATATATACACATTATATATATACACATAATCTATTGATATATTCTGACTCATAATCAACCCACTTTGAGCTTTGCGTCAGTTTCTCCAGCAAGTTCCTAAGGCCGAGCTACTGGAGATCATGTCCACTTCAAGTGAGGCTGTAAGCCTCGGGGCGATGACAAAAAACTGCCTCCTGTCCCAATGGTTGCAGTGATTGGTTGATGTCTTTAACAAAAAACAGCCTGCTGTTGGAACAAATCCCAAAAAAACAAGCTGCAGTGCAGTGGTTCCATTGTCGGCAAGACTCATTCCTCGGAGCAGTTCGACAGCCAAAGTCCAACAGGAAGAGGTCTTGCAGGCGCCCACCGTGGCGCCCCAGCAGATTTCGTTGCTGCGAAGTGTTGCCAGATGCAGGTCTTCCAATACCAGCAGAGCATGGGACCACTCACCCACCTGGAACTGAGGCAGTGAATGCAGGAAGTTGGTGCCAGATGGTGCCAGTTACCAGCACTTTCCACAAATTTCCATGTAGATAATGATGCCATTGACATTTTTTCAAGAGATTCCCAGGAGCCAAGACAGTCATCCCAAAAACGTCTTTTGATTGGGGTTGAGGCAGATGGACCAATTCTAAGATTCACATCACCATGTTGAAAGGATATGTCCCTCCTCAAGGAAAAATCTAGAGGAATACCAACCAATATCGATCTAACAACTATTGAAAGATATTGAAAGAACTCTACTTTCCATTATTTTCCTGTGGCTTTTCCCACAGATCCCCTGGTTTCATCAGCTCTTTTGGTGCAACAACCGCTGCACGTCTTAACCGCTGCGGTGTGGTTTGACACCGCGCAGTTGGCCCTGCAACAGCACTGGTGACTCGGTGCTTAGGGCAGCCAATGCTTCCTGCCGGCAGGTGGGAATACATGGCTAAACAGTGCTAAACCACTTAGCATCATCATGCATCATCCATGTTAAAACAACATGGCATGTTATGCCCACGATTTAATATGGCATTGTGGTGAGGTGTTATACTAACTGTTATACAGCATGATTTACGAATGGCATTGATGATTATATTTTGAATTACATAGATCAAAACATATCAAATGCATCGTTTGTAAATGGTAAAATCATCTGCACATGGTGCCAGGTGTGTTTGCGCGGCACTGGTCGATCTAGCGATGTTGGTAGCAGCAAGATCTGAAATTGAACCAGGATTCATGATGTGAAATATGACGCCCAGTTTCCTTCCGGTGGAGCGACCCTCCAATGCAACATCAATTGCAACTGTCAAATATTATAAACACACCCATTTTCTTGGGAAAAGGATGGAAAAGGAACAGGGGAAAAAAAATAACTCACTTTAGCATCCCCACTTCCGAGATGTTCCGAGTTCTCCTTCAATCCTTTGATCTCCTCTTCTCTTTGTGCGTTTCTTTCTTCATAGGACATCCCACCATCAAAGCATTGCTTGGCCAAAGATTCCTGGTAGGTCAGCACCGCGGCCAGTTCCTCCTTGGTCGTTTCACTGTCGGCGCTCAAATCCAGCACAGCTTTCTCCAAATCTGAGCTGGTCTTGCTCTTGAACTTCTGATCTGCGGCTTTCTGCACCTGGTGAAATCTGACCTGGAAATTCTTGGGGAAATTATGACTATGAAATAGTGACAGTACCCGTCGACTAGAATTATGTAATCATTGTGGGTCTATATGCATGCATATATATATATATATATGTGTGTGTGCGCATAATTATATCAGTTCTGGTGATAGTTTAACCACGTCAAAACATATAACAACACCTCAAAAATCCCATTTCGGAAGATCGATCTATCATTTATATCATCATATATCATCATATATCATCCTTTTACCAACCCAGATCACCATTTCACCAGCACCTCTGTGAGCTTGTTCTGCTTCGTCATGGAGTCGTGTTCCTCCGCCCGGGAACTTTCGATGGACTCGGCCTGCGCCAAGCTGCGACCGAAGTCACTCTCGATGACCTCTAGCATGCTGACGATGCCGCTGCCGCTGGCGGCACCTTCGGGTAAGCTATGGTTAACAATGGGTGGATGGTGAATAATGGATGGTAAACACAATAAAATATATGACATCTATGTTGAATATTGTTGATAATGGGGGCCGTGGTAATTTAACATAGCTATGGAAAATCACCATGTTTTAAAGGTAAATCATGCAACTACGGTAAATAGGTGTTTAAATAGCTTTGTTACCAGACGGTAGGGGGATTTTAGAATGGGATGCAGCACACAAATGTAACAAAAATAGGGATGCAAAGGGTAAGCTAAAACAACTAATCGAGATGGTAACCTTGACGGACCAAAAGAAGGATTCAAGACAGAATCTGACTCAATCACGGGTGGTTCATCCATGTTCATCCCATGACTAAACCTTGTCGCCCATGGGGATCAAGCACAGCACTTCATCAATTCCTGTGCCTGAAACTCCCCAATGGACGACCAACAGCATGACGAAATCAGAAACCGTCCCAGTGTCCCATATCTCAACATCTCTCCCCATCCCAAAATCCTTTGTCAAATCCCAGCCATATTCACAGCGTCGGCGCCTGAAGTGGCATAGTAATCCCTCAGTACGGAGATCGCACTGCGCACACCTTCGAGGCCAGATTGAAGATCCAGCTTTTGCTTCTTAAAGGCCACCTGTGCAAACAGAAGGCGGACCCTAGGGGTCGCCATTTCCCCGAATACCGACTGGTATTCCTGCGGTGGATGGGCTGATTGTGATCATTCTTAGACCAAAAGTAATCACTACAGTATATGTGTATATATATCATTTCGGACATGTTGTAGGTTAATGTAGGTTACATTTTGGTTGAATCCTCATGCGGTCAAGTTGTGGCCTCTTCCTCCTGTCGTCGCTCATCCATCTCCACTTGCAACTCAGAGAGCTCTCCAAGTTCCTTCTGAAGCGTCAGAGCTTCACGTTTCAAGGTCTCAGATTCAGATGTTTTCTTGTCCACCTTGGCTCCCAAGGTATCCTTTTTGCTACTGAGTTCCTCTAACTTTGCCTTGGTTTTGCTTTGCTCTTCATCACAATAGGCCTTTTTGGTCTGCTCAGAAGCCGCCTCCTTCTTTTTCGAGGCAATCATATTTTCAATCATATCCTTCACCTTCTCAAAGACACCTGGAGCAGCGTTGTCGTCATGGGTTTGCATCAGAGATTCGACGTTCTCCGCAAAGGTCTCCATGCCATGATCTGTTGGGGTCTTCTTGGCCAAGGAACGCATGATCTGCACCACCGATCCGAGGCCCAGATCGTCGCCAGAGATCTGCAGAAAGGCGGCCTTGCTGAAGCAGAATGACCCATGGATCTAACATGTTCTGACCCTGGGAGGCCACTACAAGGTAAACTGGAAACTGATGGAAACAGATTGTGGAAACTGATCTAAAATGATATAAGGCTGTGCAAGGCCACTATTTGTGGGCGGTCCCGGATTTGCTTGCCTGATGATAATGAACCACGTTAACCCACGTTAACCCACGTTGAGGGCCCCAACCATAATTGAACACATCCCCCACAGGAAGCCACCACGGCCACCTCGACCTCCCTGCCATGGCACGCTCTTGATGGTCGCCCCCGTCTTTTCCGCCAAGACCTTCTCAGCCTTTTTCAGGGCTTCCATTTCCTCCGCGCGGCTCTTGCTGCTGTCTTCATAGTCACGAGTGGCCTGGCTGCAACTGAGCTCCAACTTCTTCAGGGATTCCTGGTCATTTGCCAAATCCTGCAGGGGATTTAGGAAAGAACTCAGAAATCATGGGAGATGCTTGGCGTTCCTTGGCTGAAGTGAAACATGTCAAACTGGAATATATTGGAAATCATTGGAATATCAATATGTTGTGCATACAGAACATATATAGCAGAGCTGATGATGGCCATATTTGCACTTAAGTCTCCAGTGCATGGACCCAGTTTAGATCGCTGGACTCCTTTTGTGTTCCTTCCAAGTCAGCCTCCGCCATCGCCTTCTCTTGTTGGGCTGTGGCCTTCAACAATTTCGCTTGGTCCATTTCCTTCTGATCCGCTGAGATTTGCATCTCCAAAGATTGCTTCAACATCATAAAACTGTGCAGCGACTGCTTCTCGGCCACGGCCATGGTGTTCAATTCCTCCCGCGCCTTCATCTTCATGTCTTCCAGGGTGGACACGATGTTTTGACTCTTGGGGCTGATGTAATTCTGTGCCTCAACCTTTGGAGTTGCTGCAGGGGGTGAGGTTAAAAAGTTAGAAAATTGACATAGATAGATCCCTCAATTCCAGTGGTTTTCCCAATTTCTGGTAGATTTCACGTTGGGAAAAACAAAAAAAAAAACATGGTCCATTGTCCGTCTTAAGCCCTAGAAACGAAGGACATCAAGGATTCCCGTTCCTTATTGGGAATGGAGGCGGCATCCACCACAGCTCCCAAGGCCTTCAACAAGACATCACCATCCACCTTTTGCTGCAACAATGAGGGGCTCACCTTGACGAAAAGCTGATGACTCTGGAACTCTGGAATCTGAACGAATCTGATGACCCAAAAATAGAAGGTCCGTATAGGTCCATCATTGATATATTTGATATTGATTTATGATAATTTATGATAGTTTATGACAATAAGATATCTGAGATACCCGGACGGATGATCATAAACTATCCAATCAACACCTCTCTCCCTCTCGCTTCGCACATCTTCCCACCTTGGCAGAGAGCGTCTTGATGGCCCGGCCCAACATCTCTGTGGCTTCGCCCAACTCGCCATGGGCGTTTTGATGTTCCTGGTGCTCCTTCTCGCGCATCTCTTGCGCCTGCGTCAGATCCGCTTCACTTTTGCCGATGGCGCTCTGCAACTCTTGGAGCTTGGAAGTGGAGACATCGATCTCACCTCGTTGGGAAAACACGGAAGGAACATTGAAAAAAAATATACTCATGAAACAAATAAAAACAACACAATACAACACATATAATTTCAACGTTGACTTCTCATTCCGAAATTGAAATCAGAACCATAAAAAAATACCACATTTCACATTACTTTATATGTTTACATACACATACGAAATCATACGAACACATATTATGAACATCTTTGACCATCTGCCCAGATCTGCCATGATCTGCCCAGGCACTACTGGTCTTGGCAATGGTGGCCGTGAGCTGCTCCACAGTCTTCTCTCCATCCTTGATGTCGTAGCCCAAGTCACGTTGCCCATGAGAGCAGAACTTGCCTGGAACGAGCGTCCCATGACAAAGACGGGTATGTATGTATATTTATATATGTGTGTGTGTGTGTAAATAAAGCAAAATGTGCATTATAGATAATTATAACATGGATTCAACTAAGATGGATATAATCAAAAATATAATGCAAACAATAGGATAGAGTGAGGATATAGTGAGGAGATACTGGAGTTTCTGGCCTTTCTGAAGGGCTAATCATGGGAAAGCGATGAGCCATGGCGTTCCCAATTCTGAGATAGCACGACATTATGAATCATTATGAGTCACTTGAAGATCAACATTGAAAATGGATCAAATATGACCGAATAGGAATGGACCAAAAAGAAAGCGCATCTTTGAAATCGCCAAGCACTGTAGTTGGCAAAAGCCAGCTCCGAAGTCTTCCCATCCTCCACCAGCTTCATTTGCACATCGAACAGCATCGTCATGACCTTCTCCTCGGAACAGTTCCAGTTTGGAACCCAAAAATGCAGCACCATTGGGCCAAAGAAAGCCCAATTGCAATCATTTGAATCTGGGGGTCGGAACATGTCGTGATCCGTGTATACCAGGTACCCCTCATGAACATCTGAAACGGCAACGGAATATCGTAGAACATGGCACGTATGTTCTTCCTTCGCATTAGAATGATTAGAACGATTAGAACGATTAGAATGATTAGAATGATTAGAATGATTAGAATGATTAGAATGGATGTTCACCCAACGATGCCGAGCTTATCCGAGCTTCCATTGGGGTCACGGCAAGGCCAATGACCCACAATGACATGAAAGCCAACGTGCGCATTCCCGCCATGTTGACTCGATGGCTCCGGGATTCTACGTTAAAGCTGCTATCTTGGCCCCTGAGCCAATCTGAGCAATTGTTGACTTGGCAACTGCAGTGTCCCAAGAAATCAATGGTTCAATCTGCATGGCAAACACATATGTGTGGTAACTGGGCTCAGCCAATGTCAGATGCAATGCCAATCAAATGATAGCACATCTTACCACATTTTACATCAATTTACCACTTCATCCATAGTTAGCATCCACTTCCTAGCCAGTTACCTAGCCAGTTGCGTTGCCTCCGTGCCTCCTTGCAGGCGTTCACCGCCCAACTTCTGGTTGCTTGTGGCGTGTCGATGCGACAAACACGGCCCTGCTCCAGCAGCTCGAAGGTGTTGCGCCAGTGGCCGTCACGCGCCAGCGGGCCTAGAATCCGATGTGTGAAGTCATGTGAAACTGAACACTCGAAATTCAGATGATGATGATGACGATGATATATATATATATATACATATAATATGTATATATATTTTTTATTATTTATATGTATATATATATATATATTGGTGCTGTTTTTGTTTGTGTGTTGTTGCCGACTAATTCATAATAATTATGATATAATTATGTAATTCCGTCATGTATTGTCCTGTATTGTCATGTATTCCTTTTTTATTTTGGTATGGTCAAGGGGATCATCTAGATCTCATCCTTACAAGTTGCATGGGATTTGAGCACCACCCCCTCCGCACCAAGAAACTCATAGCAGCCCCATGGCTCACTGGGGTCGTTTCCACCGTGCTGACCTGCAAGGAACGCAAGAGCACCGTGGCCGATGGCCAACTGCCTCGAGCTCAGGGAGGTTCACCACGCCAGAAATTTGCACAATGATCTGTTGGTGTAACGGTGCAACTGTCATGTAAAGTTTGCAACCTGCTTCATTGTTCAATTGTTCACTACTGACCTCCAAGATCCTCCAAGATGAAGAATATGCCCCATGTCATGTTAAGTCTCCTGATATCTCCTGATATCTCCTGATTCCTGGTGTTAACCCGCCTCCATCCCAATTATCATTGGTTGCGTCCCCAGGTTTTGCTGAACTACCAGTATACTCAACTACCCTGGTTAGCCCTACAAATGGACAACATGACGCTACAAGTAGTTGACACAATGCAAGGTTGAATGATTTGGCTATTCATTTAAACGGATGTGTATAAATATATATATATATGTTTATGTACATGTATATACGTATATAGATGTATATACACATTCAAGCACTATATAGTTATAGATACACATGTAACATATATATATATATACAGAAATATATATATACAGAAATATATATATATTTATTTATTTATTTACGTGTGTAAAATGTGTAAACATTACAGTGTTACAGCAATACATACCCGACATGTCAACACCCCATGCCTGTGGCACCCGTGGCACCCGTGGCACCTCGCCGCTTGGAGTTCAAGCCAGCCACATGGGCAAAGCTGTCGGGAGGAAAGCGCTTGGACGGCAGCGCATGAAACAAGGCCTGGGCCTGCGAGAGGACACCAGATTTTCCATAGTTTTCTGGTGATGACCAACATAGCTATTGAAAAATTGCCATAGAAATACTGTTTTTTTCATGATTTTCCCATTAAAAATGGCGATGTTCCATAGTTATGTTAGTTTACCAGAGGATAGCAAGGGCCCGCACGAGGCTAATGGGCTGTTGAGGAGAATGAATAATCAAATAATGATATTAATAGCTTCGATACAACAATGGTCCATCGGTGTGAATATGCAACAACTACAATACTGAAATTCCATGTGATTCCTAACTAATGGGACATTGCTTTTGTCACTAGATATTTGGTAATTATCCAGGAAATATCCGATAGTTATGATAGGATATGATCGGTGTCATGGGGATCCAGTAATATTGGTACTGATAACGCTTATACAAAATGAGGAACTCCAATCAGCTGGAAATTACACATATTATGACTGACGGGTAAATTATTAAAAGTATCGGTAGGGAAATTATGGGTACAGTAACTAACTAATTATCACTGGACAAAATAGATCGCACACTTCCGGATTCATGTGGTATCTGGGATCCGCAGAACAGCAGGACAGAATCCAGGGGAGACTATGTTCACGAACTGGTAAGGTTAATCTCACCACTTCTGAATCTCATCAGTTCTTTCATAAGTATAGCGAACTATATATCACTACATATCACTGTATCAGTATAGTGAGACTCCAAATCACCACATATAATATATGGTGATATATCTATATACAAAAAACACTATATATAATGCAATATAAAATATTACACACAAATCTGTATGTATTATATATATATATATATTATATCGCTATAGTGAGACTCAAGGAGCGATTTCTCCATGATCAGATTGCAGCCTCCTGCCAGCGGCGAACACCTTGCCATGCCTGACCGCCGGAGAAAAAGCGACGAATTTTGACTGTGACATGCCCTAGATGGTAGAAGAAAAAATCGCATAGTATGTCATATATATATATAGATTTATATATATATATATATATATGTGTGTGTGTTTCTGCAGGTACAATATAATTATCTAATATCATGTGCAATGTGTATATATATATATACATATATATTCTATATCTGCACGTTTCAGAGAAGTTGTGCACGTTTTAGAGATGTTGTGCACGTGTCAGAGATGTTGTGCAAATGCCCGCGTACAAAATGTTCATTCATCCAAGCAACACTCATGGTGACGGTGTGACAGATCATGTCCTGCACATGACAAACACCACATGGGTCTGGACCGGTTTCGGTGGGGGACACCACGGCAAACCATCACGTTTGCAGACAAAACCATATAAGCAAGACATGCGGCAACTCCACAAACGATTTCACTACATCTCAATTGGATCACCATCGATAAACAATGATAAACAAACATCCAAACCTCACTGACACAATCACAACATACCACTGTGATAATTGATTCTCCAAAATCAATGATGACTATACAATATAAGAATAGTAATAACAACAATCAACTTCATTACCATTACTACAACTACTACCCGTATTATTCAGTGTGCCTGAATTTTCATTGGCTCCACTCATTCACTCATTGAGTTATGACAATGGTTTTATAGTCTCATCCCCGGGCCCCAGATCTGTCCAATTCCCGATGCTCTTCCCAGATCTGCAGTGCAGGACTCCACGCGCTGCACGTGGCGCAGCTCCCCAAGGCGTTGGAACGACTCACCATGCTGGGCTGCAAACCCAACTCCTGCGAAAAGAATGATGAGAACCGGTGAGAACCGGTGAGAACGGCCGCTTCTTTTAAGGGATGTTCTTTTGGCAGCTGTATGATGTTAATATGAATGAATTAATATGATGTTGTATGATGTGGGGCAGTCTTTGGATATGTTTGGAGTACTGTTAATTCCAACCATTCTGAGCATCTGATTTTAAACATACCTTTAAGCCTTGTGGCATGTGGGGATAAACGTCGGCAGCGCGCTGTAGCGGGTAGCAGCAGTCCGTCATGTGGCCGAGCAAATTGACAGCAAAGGCCCAGCATTCAAGACTTTTTTCAGCATCGACCCTCGTGCCACTGATCACTGCACTCACCTCAGATGCAGCTGCCATGTCAAACCTGGGGATGGGATTGGTATGGAATGTTTAATGATGTTCAATGGTGTTCATACCAGTAGTACCGCACAAGGCGGTGGCGGAAGTTTCAAAAATAGGAAACCTATAGGAGAGGTTGGTTGTTGCGAATCAGGGATGGCAGAGCGAAGCCACTGATGGAGCAAAAAGAGATTGATCTCTCTCACTATTTCTCTCTCTTTCTCTGACTATCCACCTACCTACCTACCTATCTATCTATCTACCTATCTATCTATCTATCGATCTATCGATCTATCGATCTATCGATCTATCTATCTATCGATCTATCTATCTATCTCTCTCTCTCTCTCTCTCCTTCATCCGTCTAGCTGTCTACCTGTCTACGCAGCGTCATTGAGTGTAATGTAGTGTAGTGTAATGTAGTGTGGCGTAGTGGCGTGTAGTGGAATGTCATGAATGTAGTGTAGTGTAGTGCAATGTAGTGTAGTGGAGTGTAGTTTAGTGTAGTGGAGTGTAGTGGAGTGTAGTGGAGTGTAGTGGAGTGTAGTTGTGTAGTTGTAGTTGTAGCTGTAGTGTAGTGGAGCGTAGTGTAGTGTAATGTAGTGAAGTGTAGTGTAATGTAGTGAAGTGTAGTGTAATGTAGTGTAGTGTAGTGGAGTGTAGTGTAGTGTAATGTAGTGAAGTGTAGTGTAATTTAGTGTGGTGGAGTGTAGTGTAGTGTAGTGGAGTGTAGTGTAATGTCGTGTCTCTCTCTCCATCGCCATCTCAGGAGATCAGCAGTCAAGCTGAAGGCGAGCTAAAAAGGTGACGTGGCAGGTCAGCACACAAGCTCGTTAGCCAGGCGCGTCATATCACCAAGCCACCGCAAAGGTAAAGTACAAATTTCTGTTACTATACATAAGGGGTCAAAGGGATGAAAATGAATAGGTAAAGATCCTAACAAATCGGGCAGCCTCTCAGCATGTGAATCTTGATGAAAAAGGAGCACCTTCAAGTGAAACGTGCTGGGCCGAAGCCACCCTGTTGCCAGAAAAAGTTCCAGGATGTCGTGAATGGATTGAGTGCCCACTGGTGCCCGGTGGCAGCGCCAACCACAGCACCGATCCAATTCCAGTACACTGATAGCCGCCGAGTCAGTGATATCACAGACAATCAGCTGTTGACCATGGAACGTTCCTTGTAAGCAACGTCTTTCCCACAAGTATTTGGTGCTAGAGATAGCATAAACATTGGCCCCAAAGAGCTCGGCAACAGGCAAGCCGTGTGCAACCAGCCAGCCATGCTCCCTCTCTGCCCACTGCTGGCGGCAGGCAGCCGCACCAGCATCAAGCCCACAATGGTTGAGATACCGGATGACATTTCGGTGCCCACTGTTATTTGGCCCAGTGCGACATCGGCGGATCCCATGTGCAGTCACATCAGAATGTTGCAGCTCTGTAAGGCTTTGCCTAACAAGGTCAGTGCTAGGAAGGCGGAGAACATGCCCAACCCATCTCCACACCATCTTGGCTAGGAGGGCGTCCCAAGTTTCAGAATAAGTTCTGGACCACAACTTGACCGCATGACGTAAAGTGGCAATGCATTCGCCAACAAACCAAGAGTTGTGAGCACGAGCACCCAACGTCCAAGCAAGGAGAGTGACATGATGGATCCGGAGCTTTCGGAGATTGGTCTGATTCACAGAGACAACGCGCAGACACCATCTGATGGAAGCAGTGACTAAAGAGGTGAACAGGCGCAGGCGCAGGGGGCGGCAAGCAGAACAATGGGTAAGCAACCTTTTGTTGGTGAAATACGCGGTGGTGGCCCTTGCGCACAGGTAATCAACCATGTGTTCATCAGTCTCGACCACCTTTAACGGCATGCCCAAGTAAACAGAAGTAGCCTGCACAGGGAAGGTTCCAAGGAATCCTGGCAAACAACGAGGCAACGACGAAGCAAGAAGACAGGATTTCGAGACATTGATGGATAAGCCCAGGTTCTGCAGAAGGTCAACGACAGCAGGCATCAAACGAAGGAGCTGGGACAGAGTCCGGAAAATGAATATGGAGTCATCAATAAACCACAAAGCCCACAGCGCGAGAAGCGAGGTGACGAAGGCTGGACGTTCTCCACAGAGCAACCACTGATGACTGAGCTGGTCGAAACGGCCAGAAAGGACACGACCAAACAAGGTAGGACTGTGGCTACCCCCTTGCTGGGTACCACGACCTTGCAAGCACCACCACGAGGCATCAAAAAGTTGAAACCGCAAACGGGAATGCAAAAGGACCCAACGAAGCAAGCCGGCACTCTTGGCAGAAGCAGACGACCAGTGATCAATCATGTACTGCAAGACTGAGTTGATGTTGAGGGAATCAAAGGCGCGCGAGACATCGAGCTGAACAAAGACCGGGGGCTCAGCCAGGCCAGCCGATTCTTGGGCAGCATGTTTAATGACGTAGATTGCTTCGGCCACACCTTTGTTCGCAACACAGCCAAAGCAGGAACGCGGCACAGGCCAAGAGGACACAACGCGGGCTGTGGCCAATTTGGCGGCAAGTTTGGCAAAGACTTCACCACAAACGATCGGTCTGAAGTCCGTGGCATCCTGTACCCAACTCTTTTTTGGTAGAAGAATGACCCATCCTTCAGCAAGTAGTGTAGTGTAATTTAGTGTAGTGGAGTGTGGTGGAATGTAGTTGCGTAGTTGTAGTGTAGTGGAGTGTAGTGTAGTGTAATGTAGTGTAGTGTAGTGTAATGTAGTGGAGTGTAGTGTAGTGTAATGTAGTGTAGTGTAATTTAGTGTAGTGGAGTGTGGTGGAGTGTAGTGGAGTGTAGTTGTGTAGTTGTAGTGGGGTGTAGTGTAGTGGAGTGTAGTGAAGTGCAGTGGAAGGTAGCGTAGTGTAGTGTAATGTAGTGTAGTGTAGTGTAATCTAGTGTAGTGTAGTGTAGTGTAGTGTAATTAGTGTAGTGGAGTGTAGTGGAGTGTAGTGGAGTGTAGTGGATGTAGTTGTGTAGTTGTAGTTGTAGTGTAGCGGAGTGTAGTGTAGTGTAATGTAGTCTAGTGTAGTGGAGTGTAGTGTAGTGTAATGTAGTGTAGCGACATCTGAACCTCAAAAAGTGGTCCGAACCCTAGTGTTTTTAACATTTTGACTTCGAAATGTGCTTCGCGCCACAACGGCGTGCACTTTTTCGACATCTGAACCTCCAAAAGTGGCGCGAACATGTAGTGTTTTGTACATGTTCACTTCGAAATGTGCTTCGCGCCACAACGGCGTGCACTTTTTCGACATCTCAACTACAACGGCGTGCACTTTTTCGACATCTCAACTTCCAAAAGTGGTCCGAACCTGGTGTGTTTTGTACATTTTGACTTGGAAATGTGCTTCGCGCCACAACGGCGTGCACTTTTTCGACATCTCAACTTCCAAAAGTGGTCCGAACCTGGTGTGTTTTGTACATTTTGACTTGGAAATGTGCTTCGCGCCACAACGGCGTGCACTTGTTTGACATCTCAACTTCCAAAAGTGGTCCGAAGCTGGTGTGTTTTGTACATTTTGACTTCGAAATGTGCTTCGCGCCACAACGGCGTGCACTTTTTCATATCTCGTCTGGCCAGCTGGCTCCGCACCCGCCGCTTTAGCGAGCCTACTTTTCGACCCTCCGGGGCCACAAATCATTGGAAAAACACAGTGTTTCGCGACTTTCCTACCTTTTCGCGCATCTGCATCTTCTTTCTTCTGACTCTTTCTCTTCTGATCTTCTCTCTTCTAATCTTTCTCTTCTCCCTGCCTCTGCCCTGCTCTGCTTTTCATCTGTCCATATTGTCGGAAGTTTGACTTCTAAACTTCCTTCGATAAAATTTTATCGATTTAATAGAATTTAAATGGGGAAAATATGGGAAAATGCTTTCCACTCAGCGGTTTCATGTTTCTTCCCAGCATGGTGCCAAATGGCCAGTCCCTGGTCTGCTTCGATAGACCGATGGCATGCCTCCTGAAACAAACCCCAAGCGCTGTGCCAACAGCCTCCTTGCGCACAAGCATTGGCGGCGGCATTGGCTGAAACGATGTCTCCACGAATTGCCTGGTGCCGGGTGCTGGATGCTGCAACTGTCGCAAAATTCATTGGCAAACTAAATCAAGTACAGGCATGAAAGGAGCACCTCTGCGATGATTGTTTCCTGTATCCATTTTCCATGTCTGTTACTTCCATCTCTCGATTCTATGAGATCCGTTGCTTCTGGTGGACTTGGTGGGCTCCAGATTCCCAAGGTGTCACCGTTGCTGATATACCTGACATACCACCACATCTACATGTGGTGAATTTGTGGAGGAATCTGAGGAATCCCAATGTTGACATAAATATCATAAATATCTATCCATCATTATCCATCCATCTAAACGGGTCTATCAGTATGTGATGTGGGTTTCACTCGCTGGACCCCCGGGCCTCGCATTGCATCTCGTTGAGCACCAGCATTGCAAGGTGCCAGGACTCTGATGTGGCGGATCCCAAGACCGAGGTGTAAGACACCACATCCTCAGATTTGCCAAGGACGTCAATCCCAAAACTGTCCAAACTTGGACTTGACATGCAAGCCCTTCCCGAAAATCAATCTCCACATGGACTTCCAATATATATATATATATATATAGATATTATATATATATATAGATATATATATATATATATCCAAGTTGGCATATTCAAATCCACTGATTTCAGGAGCCAACGAATTCTACCAGTTCCCCGGTGACGCCGAGCATCTGCCTGTGCCGATGCTGCCAGCCGCTGCAGCAGCTGCAACGCCACGTCCCAGCGCAGGGCTAAGGCGGCGCAGCGAGTGGCGGCGTTCCAATCTGCAGCGCTTGGGGGATCCATACAATACCTATGGAATTTACATCATATACGGTATAATGGTATAACATATATATAATAACTTACATAACTATACTATGTTTCACATATATGTGTTTATATATGTTTGTGCATAATATAATGGTATCCCTTCCTCCAATCTAGCCATCCATAATAATATGATTGAATATGATTGATCTATACGTGTGTATGGACTTAGAGATGATCCCAAACGCCAGGAGACTGCTGGAGGACGCGTGCAGCGTCATCTCGGCCATGTCCTTCAAGAGGACCAAGGTCACTTGCCACTGCCCATCGCGTTGGCATGCACTAATGGCTGCATTGAAACCTCGCGCAGGCCAACTGTTGCCAGCCCCCGGGTCCAAAATAAAAAAGACCAATGACCAAGCCGAAACTGTTCAAAAAGTGGCCTGGATGTCACTTGCAAATGTTTGAAAGGAAGCTCTTCAACAGATTTTCCAGGCTTTATACCATCCTGCAATTTAACATAGCTATTCAAACTGGCCTACTTATATTTACCTATATATTTACCTCTAAAAAAAGTGTTTATTTTCCATAGCAAAGCGATACTGTAACAGTACTGTACCAGCACGATCCCAGTCACTGATTTGATCGCGATGCAGCATTGTGCACAGCCAATGCAGGGCTTCCGACCACTCCCCGGACGCAGCGCAAGCACTGATCAGGGCATTGCAAGAAATGGTATCGTTGTTGACCTGGGAGACCCGCGACACCACGGCCCATGGATGGATATGAATGGATGTATTGGGCTTGGAAAACCTACAGGCGATGCTATTTTTTACCCAACATTACCCAACCATGGATGTTTCTGGTAGGTTTCCCTTCAACCAAGAGGGGTTGGTGAAGGTGTCTGCCCGTGAAATTCTCGAGCGGAAACTGAGCGACCACCGCCCAACTGCACAGTCAGAGCGAGCCTTTCGCAAGGGCATCTGTATCAGCAGGAGCTCTGCCATTTGCCACTGGTATCCTAGGTTCAAACTTCACTTAGTAACAGTTTGGGCATTCATTTTGCAAGACTGCCACCAAAGTCACAACGAATCCGAACCGGCTGCAAGAATCCAATATAGTTTTTGGATGTTCTTGGCACTTCTTGGAACTGCTTTTGAAGAACCACCAGCTGAGGTCTATTTTCCCCATTCGACATACCCATTGGGAAGGGAAGTCCAGCTGGTTTCAATCAGCAGCTTCCCAGCTGGCAAGTGGCCCTTCTCACAAGCGCTGAGGGCGGCGGTGTAGCTGAACTTATTCAAAGCAATGGTGGCGCTGGTGATGGCCTCCATCTGCTGTAGCGCCTCCTGCCTGGCAGATGGTTTGACGGATAGGGAGGGGACCCAAAAAGCAAGGACGTCCGAGATATATAGGGAAATAGATGGCGATATTAAAAAAGATACCTGCATTTCTAGAGAGAGAAAGAAAGAGAGAGAGAGAGAGAGAATGAGTGCTATATACATATATATACATATTATAATTATATATATATATATATGCTACCCCCCCTCCCAAAACCCATGTTTTGCATTGTTTTCGGAAGGTTGTTTAAGGCAGCCTTGAGAATGTGCACGCAAGTCTTCAAAGCAGAAGGCAGATGTATTTTTTGAAAGTTGTATGCAGGAGCATTGAGGATGTGCATGCAAGTCTTCAAAGCAGAAGGCAGATGCATGTTGCAGTTTCACTTTCACTTTAAGTTTGGAAGTTTATGATGAACAAAATTGGGTATGTGCGAGGATCCGCACGTCCCAGGAAACTATGAACCTGGTGACTATAGAAGACAACATGAAACATCATTGGATATTTTGTTACACATGGCAGGAAATATTGTTTCAAGAGTTCATATCTGAGCAAGGCCACAAAGGATGAGTCTGAGAGAGGCAACTGACAGTGGTATCGATTGATATCTTTTGGTTTTAGATCAAGCATCACTGCAGAGGTCAGCAGGCAAAAAAGTGGAACTTTTTTCACCTTGCGAAGCAGAAGGCAGCATTTGGACATTCCCTACGTTTGGTTGTCAGACATGGGAGAGGGCATGAAATAGCATTTGGTTGGAAAGGATGATCATGCAGAGGTTGAGTCCTGTTGCTGTTGTTGTTGCTGAGATGTGAAGTTTCTGAACAGCTGTGTTTGGACATTCTCTACATTTGGTTATGAGATATGGGAGAGGGCATTGAATAGCATTTGGCTGGAAAGGATGCAGAGGTTGAGTCCTGTTGTTGTTGTTGTTGTTGTTCTTGTTGTTGTTGTTGTTGTTGTTGTTGTTGTTCTTGTTCTTGTTCTTGTTCTTGGGATGTGAAGTTTATGAAACGCTTTCTATCTATTGCTGGAAGGCAAGCTAATGCATCGCAAAACAAAGAGGCAAATCACAGAGTCCAAGCATGTCCAAGCGCAGCAAATACACAGACATCGAACTGCCGGAACTTTCTTTTTCTCCCTGTTGACAGACGCCGAGCATGGTAGTAGTCATTTGGCTGGCAAGAAGATTTTTTTCATCTGCCATGTGCACAATTCCCCTGTGCACAGCCAAAGATCTTCATTGCGATGCCAATACTCGTACTGGGCGGATCGCACTTTGGCACGCAGGCGCGCCGTCCCTACCTTGGTGTGCTCATTCAAAACAATCCTATCCTTCAGGAATCGCCAGGCTCGGTCGATGACTTGGGTGCCGGCCTTGACGGTCATCTTCTTCTTGCTGCCGGGGATACAATGAGACACCAAACGAACATACTTTGGAAGCTGCCATTTCCAAACGCCCTTCACCTTGACTCTCTTTTTGCAGTGCACAACATTGTCATGGATGATGCCTGGTAGCTTCATGCGATAGCTTTTGGCAGCATCTGTGTGTAGGACCAGCTGCTTGTTTTTGAGCCACTTCTCAGCCAATGGTTTCCATTCGACCTTTCGAATTGCACCCGGACCTGGCGCCCTTGCAGCTGACAAAGCCGGTGACAAACGATGAAGGACGAGAGTTTTGGGACAACCTCGTTTGACGATGCCGCACCATTGCTCCCACTGCGTAGGTGTGGCTGGATCTGGCGCATCTGCTCCCAGGTTCTTCTTGTCGAACGTGGCCTCATCTGCCTCCACATCACCCCACGGCTTGCCATGACCAAAGTTGATCTCCTTCTCCTTGGCTTCAACCCATGTCTTTCGAAGATCACAAAGTCGCTTTTCCAAGTCCTCTATAGCTTTGTGGTTGATCTTGAGCAATCGATGAATAGCAGCATGGGACAAATTGTTCAACTTCAGCAACAGCAAGCAACACTGGGTTGCCAAAGGCGTTGTGGATTGCCACGGCCATCGACAAAAAGAGGATGCATATGGTGGGGGCTGATGTAGGCATGGCAGCTGTAATGGTTACAGCGATGCTTCAATGCTCCATGACCTGGATGAGGCCGAAGCTTCGACAAAGTACCCTTTTCACATCTTGGACACAAACGTCTCTCCCACGAAGGAAGCAGTTTGTCTTCTTTCAACTTCTTGATGAGACTGGACTCACTTGCTGAGAGAAGCTCCGGAAGGGATCGTTTCCACGAATGCCGATCAGCTCGAATCTCTTTGCCAAGCTTGTCACGAGTATATGCAACCTTTTTCCAAGCTTGGTTTTTTTGATACGCCGGGCGTTTCAGCATGGCCCTGCCTTTGCCACGCTTGGGGTCGGGGAATGGATTGAACTTGCGCACCATGAGGAGGACAAGAGAAACCAGAGCTGCTTCACCTTTTGAGCCACAAACTACAGATACGAATGGAAAGGTAAAGAGACAGACAGCCAGCACAATGCAGACAAGGGCATGCTTTGACATGGAAGATTTCAATGTAATGAAGAGTCAGCACCATGTAAAAGCAGACTGCAGCAGTGAGACTTTCGAAACGACTTGACTGCAACACAGCACAATTTGAAGACAATCTTTTTTCCTGGCCAAGCAAGCTCTGGAGATATCGTTCATGGATGCACCTGACCCATGTTAAAGCTGCACATGACGCTACCATATCTATTGCCTCAGCAGATTCACGCATTGTCCGTCTGCATGTTATCCATTGCCTCCTCTAGCGCTGCTGCCAAGTCATCTCCTACACCAATGTTGGGAAACGACTCGTCGTCTTCCATGCCCAGGAATGAAGGATTGGGCGGACCAGTGCAAGAAGGCCGAGGACGCTTCACAGGAGAAGGAGAACTCCAATCGATGAATGTCCGGGGCAAACGCTTCAATGCTTTGAAGAACTGCGCCGACTTTTCCTGCTCCACTTTGGCTTTCATCTCGGTCGACGGCAGGAGAGAGGGAGGATGATACGTTGTAGACGCTTCTGCACCAAAGAGAGATTGTTGGCGAACAGTGATGGTACGTGGAATGTCTTCGCCACGCAGCAGTTTGCCGATGAGCTCTTGTGGCCAGATAGCGTCTTCATGGAACCTTGGGGGAAGACAATGACCGTCAGGGTTTCGTTTGTACTCCTGGAAGATGACCTTCTGGTCTTCGGCCAGTAGATCCCGCGGCTCATTGGCAGGCCAGGTGATGAAGTCCACATCTCCTTTGTCTGCGCGTGCGAGTCGCCAATACACAGCAGCATCTGTCAAAACAATGAGATGCGTGCTGGCCAGGATCGCATTCATGTCTTCTGGGTCTTCAACACCTGCGAAGGACGGACCAATCAGGTCAAGGAAATCCTTGTGGGAAATGATGGTCTTGCCATTCTTCAGGGCCTCCTTGATGATGCTCTCATCCACTTCCGCATTGTACGGGTTATTACATGCATGACGCCCGGCTCCTTGATCAAACTGAGCAGAAGAGTAACGTGCCCACACGGTGGCATCTTCTTCCTGCGAAAAGGCAGAATGCGCACACAAGCAAGGGTATACTTAGACGTGAAGCTAGACAGAGGGCAATGCGACCCAAACAACTCCTGGATACACATTCAAAAAGTGCAGCCAAGGCGCAGCAGGATTGAGGAAGGCTTTCAGAAAGGATGCGTTCATCTTTTGCAACAAGCCATCGTCAAAGACGCCCGGCTTGAATTTGGTCAAAGGCTCCGCCTTGAAGAAGTCCAGGTGCTTGGCCGTGACAATCGAAGGAACGAGATCAGATCGCCCAGCTTCATCAATCTCGAATCTAGATTGGGCAAACAGCATGGTCTTGGAGCCAACGGATTTGCCAACTCTTGTTTTGCCAATCCAAGTCACAGCATGTTGACGCATGGTTGGAATCATCTTGACAATCACATCATGCAGGAACCAAGGGACAAAGGAGCGCAAAGTGAAGGGCCAGTACTCCAAAGTTTTGGCATTTTGGCGACCACGGTAGTAGTTGTTGAGGGCCTCTTTCACTTTGCCCTCCGGCCATCCTTCAAGGGGACCACCTGGTGTATGGATTTGATCGTCTGTCCATTCCATGAACTGGTTCCTGTTGTTGGAACGAGGCCCATTGTCACGGATGTACTGATATCCTGCTTGACCGGCACTTGCATCTGGAGCCATTTTTTTTTCAAATTTGGGACCAGTGGACCACAAACGCACCTGGATGCCACCGAGGCGATCGAGCATGAAGTTCAAGCCTGCCAACGCCAAGCGAGTCTGGCTACCCCATTCGAAGCGCACAGGAATGCCGAAGCAATGCGTCATCAAGTCTTTGGCCCATACCTTGTTCTTGTGCAAATAGACATGCTTGAAGATGTCCACGTACGTGTGTTCCTGATCCGGGGGCCAATGTGCTGGCACAATGATGAATTGCATGCTGTAGGGCACAGTCGGCTTTGTTTTGAGGCAGAAAGGTTCTGGCAGGTCACGGTACTTGCTTTGTGCACATAGTGGATAGAGCGTGGAATCCAAGAATCCTTGGTCAACCTTGAGAGGGTCTTCAGAAACATGATTTTGGATGATGTCGACGAATTGTTCACATTTGCCGCTTGTGGTAGACATATCTCTCAAAGGCAAGTCAATGAGCCGAAGATCTCCTGGAGCACGATCCCCTTTTAGTGGCTTCATGAGTGGACCAAAGAGTTTTTGCCCTTGAACTTGTACACAAGCTTCCTCAAAGGTCAGCGCCCCATCTCTTTCTCCAAGTTCATGTCCGAAGCTTTCGGCGAAGGATAGCTCCACGGCAGCCATGCTAAAGTCGGAAGTGCCACGAAGCAGAGTATATGTCACTTTGAGCTTATCAAGCCTTGAGAACATGCGCGCAGACGAGACATTGACAGACATGTGTTGAGTGGCAGGGAATTTGAAAAGGATACTACTACTACTACTACTACTACTAGTACTAGTACTACTACTACTACTACTACTACTACTACTACTTCTACTACTTCTACTACTTCTACATTTTTTTTCTTTTTGATCCTTATTTTTTTTTTTGATCCCTTATTTTTTGGTTTTTTTGATCCTTATTTGTTTTTTTTGATCCTCTAGCCTCCCCAGCAACAACCACAACCACAACCACAACAACAACAACACCACCAACCAACCAACCAACCAACCAACCAACCAACCAACCAACCAACCAACCAACCAACCAACCAACCAACAACAACAACAACCAACAACCAACAACCAACAACCAACAACAACCACCACCAACAACAACAACAACCACCAACAACAACAACAACAACAACAACAACAAAAACAACAACAACAACCAACCACCAACAACAACAACAACAACAACAAACAACAACCAACAACCAACAACCAACAACAACCAACAACAACCAACAACAACCAACAACAACCAACAACAACCAACAACAACCAACAACAACAACAACAACCACAACCACAACAACAACCACAACCACAACCACAACAACAACCACAACCACAACCACAACCACCCCCACCACCACCAGCAACCACAACAACAACCACAACCAACCAACACCAACCAACCAACCAAGCAACCAACCAACCAAGCAACCAAACAACCAACCAACCAACCATCCATCCATCCATCCATCCATCCAACCACAGCAGCAACAACAACACCATGCAAATCAGAGAGCTTAGCTGCAAAACGCTGCAAATACCAATCAAAACCATCAAACCCCAAAAAACGGGAAAAAATCCCAAAAAAAAACGGGAAAAAAATCCCAAAAAAAATTGCAGCCCAATTTGAAGCAGTAGCCAGTTTCGAGATCTTATTATATTTGAAATGTTCCTTTAGTTTTGGTTTCCTTTTATTAACATTAGTTTCTAAAGTTTCTAACTACGTGTCATGGAGCACTGAAGCAAAAATCTTTTTTCTCGAAGCGATGCTAGTGACAAATGTCATGCACCGCCCCATCGCCAGCGGAACTCCCTTCCTCGTCGCTGCAGATATGCCTCAGGCGGAGTCTGCGGTGGTGGACCGGGAGGTGTCCACGGGGCCAGCAAAGCTAACTGCTCTGCAGGTGCCAACAACAATTCTGGTGGAGTGTGAGGGACAGCCACTCCGTCAAGCCACACCCAGTCAGTTGAGGTGGCGTTTGTGGCGCAGCATCCCATTCGGGGATGTCTACCCACTCATCGTCAGACATTGCCACGGGAGTTTGTGGCGCAGCATCCCGTTCGGGGATGTCTACCCACTCACTCTCATTGTCGTTGTCAGTGTGGTCGGGCCTAAGTCAAGGTGCTGGTGAAGGATTGGGGCCAATGGCCTGACCTGTTCTTTTCAGCCAAGATACTCCTCTGGGATAGCAGCGCCAGTGTCCACCTATATATAAATATGGGTTTTGGGGGGTGGTACCATATCCATATATATATATAAGTGCAGATTATGCTATGTATATGATATATGATACAAATATATACATATCAGCTGGTAGGTCAACAACTCTGCCATGGTGCCATCTTCCGCGGCTGCAGGTGTTGAGCACGGCGTTGCTGTGATAAATGGCCAGCCGCAAGCCTTTGGCTTCCAGGCCCCAAAGAGCTCGTAGCACCTGCGGGATGCTCAAACCTCCAAGGTGAATTCCAGGGATGGTTGGAAGGGAAAAACCTCCCATGAATCCTATGGTTATAACGTGTTATAACTTATATCATCTTATATCACCTATAAACATCCATAAACTATGGCTAATCATGGTTAATCATGATTAACCAAGTTACAAGTCAACTTGGCATTTGGGGGCCTCACCTTTAAAAAGTCTTCAAGTGGTCTGTTTTTCTGGCCTCATCGGGCTGCCTCCTTCGTGCCAGCTGGTTCAGTGCACTGACAGTGTTGTCGGCCACCATTCTACAGCCATGGTGACGGTGCTAAGACCACTGGGAGCAGATAAGACGGATTGGGCGAGGTCAGATTTGACAGGATGCAAGTGACAATGCTTGAAGATAACATGAGGATAACATCGGATCAGAACCTCAGCAACCAATGGGAATATCGGAATATCAAGTAGACCTGAGATCGCTAGAACTTGAATTAGGTCAACCGTTACTGTAACCACACAATGTTTTGAGATGTTTTAAGCATATTTGGCACTAGTAGACCTGGTGGTCAGTATGGCAACAGGCAGGTGTCTGTCTGTCGCTCCCCGACGTGGGCCGGGGCCATGGTCTCCAGTTGACCTGTGGAAAGTAGAGCTTCGAAGATTTCAGAAAACTCGCTAAATCGCTATGATCACTATGTTACTGATGTAACATTTTGTATGATTCTATGCGGCTGAAAAACCATTCTATGAAGATTTAACCATAATGTCAATGACTTCAATCCCCATGATGCTTTCTATGCAGTGAAGCCAGTAGCACTCCGAGACTCCCCGCCTCGGCTAGGGCTGAAGCTCCTCAGATCGCAGTTTCATGCAGTTTCTCATCGTTTCCCTGTGGATGATTTACCGTTTTCCTCAGGATTTACATGGATCGATTTCGAATGATTTCCAGCGATTTTCCAGCTATTTTCCAGCTATGCACTTGTCAGAATTCTACAGAATTCTTCGGAAGTCCGGGGATGTGGTGATCGTTTGGGCACAGGCACACAACTTCGCGGCGAAGGTCGGGATTTGCCTGGCAGCAACGATTTTTTTAGTCAATCGCCGTGGATGAGAAGGATGAAAAAAGTTGGAGCATGATGGTCAAACTTCTGATATGCTACGAATAATCTAAAATGATTGTGCTAAATTAGCAGCTCCAAAATCTTGAACCCTCAAAGTCACGCGCTTTTCCTCTGAGATGGAAAAAGAGGCAGTTTTTGTGGTTTTGGCTCGATGGCTGTTGCAAACACCAGGTAGCCCTGCAGAATCCTTCTTCAACCTTTGTTGGACCATAAGAAAGGTTGACTTGTCGATGACTTAAGGTTCTTCCAAGCTTGAGCTGATATCAGATATACGACATTAATAATCATTTACAACGGTTTGACTGAACAAAGGCACCCAACTCCCATGTTTGTTATCATTGTCACAACCGAAATTGACATCAGTTACGGTGACAAATATCATAAATGCTACATACACCATTTCTGGAGAAAGTCCCATATAGTCCCATAATCCAAATGATCCTTGGACATCACTGGTGTGGTTCTCCAGCTAGCTTGAAGGGGTGCAGCGACACGTTCCGTTCCTGGCCTCCAAGCGATGTCGCCCGTCGCGATACATGGGGCCCAGAAGTCCTATTCTTTGGGACTTTCACTTGGATCTTCTTGACCAGTCAGAGGATAGGGTTCGGGCTGTTTCACCCAAATTCTCTGCCATCAGATTATGATGTTATATCGTGAGTTTTTCTTCAATTTTGCGCCGGAAATATGCAGTTCTCATGCGGAACACCATGGCAATTTGCCCCTTGAGCCATGACAGGACGATCTTCGGTAATGCATCCGGCTCAGGAACTTGCCTTAAGTGATGTGTGTTGCTTCCCAAATGGGTTCTACTTAGATCCACCTAGTCGATTTGCAACCAAAGGCAACACCAGAATGAATGCACCATGTATCTTTGATAAAATGCAAAACCATGTGATGGGATTCGTCATCAAACGATGACAACAAGCAGGTGGCATGACGGCATGACGGCATGACGGTGGCACCCCAAGCAGCGAGTAGGATCGCTGGGAAATGGTACCTGCACCGTGCGCAGCCAGGCCGGCTCCGGTTTCAAATTAATAGGGTACCACATACAATTAATGTAGTATGTTATAAATGCTTGATTGATTTAAAGTATCTTCATAATAACCCTAGTTAGCGTGCACATCAGTGATAAAGTGATAATTACATAATCAAATATAATATCAATGTATATACACGTTAGTACTTTTATATCACATAGGCATCATCCCAAAGAAGAAACTTACATGATGTAAGAATACGATGTTAAGTACCATAGTAGAAAATGTCTAAATTCCATTAACATCATTGACTAACTGATCTAATTTCAAATGCTGCCATTCACGGCCCCCATTCTCTTACTACTATTTCAGGATTGGATGTTCCTAGATTCTGCCAGGGCTAATTCTGCTGGTGGTTCCTAATCTATTAATCATGGTTTGCTGGAAAACCCCATTGAGTTAACAAAACATCCATTTAGTCCGTGGAGTCTTTTTCCATACCGTGTTTTCTATTGATTTTCCATAGATTTCCGATGTTTTTTCCATCAAAAGCTCCATTTTTCCGTGATGTTCCGAGGGTTTCCCGTGGACCATCGTGGACCCTTCCCGTCGAGCACCAAAGGCCAGCTCCGAGGAGGCCGCGAAGTCGCCCACGGAGCCGAAGTCGCCTTGTGATCGGTGTGCACTATACCATTCATAGTAGTGGTGAACATATAATAACGATCATAATACCAGTATATAAGTAACAATAATAGTTAAATATTATATATATATATACATATATACACTATCTATATATATAATATATATATGTAGTATATATCATATAAACCTGGTTAAAGCTCAAAAAAGTAGAAAATGTAGAAATATCGCCATCATTCACTATCGTTGATGTGACAAATTAAATGTGACCTGTGGAAACAGAGACAGACCCAACCAAAACGGGCTCGTACCATGTGCTATGACTACTAAGACGATCATGTCTTTGAATTCTTGTTGATCGAAGGAAGTTTAGAAGTCAAACTTCCGACAATATGGACAGATGAAAAGCAGAGCAGGGAAGAGGCAGAGAGAAGAGAAAGATTAAAAGAAAGAAGAGTAGAAGAGAAAGAGTAAGAAGAAAGAAGATGGAGATGCGCGAAAAGGTAGGAAAGTCGCGAAACACTGTGTTTTTCCAATGACTTGGGGCTCCGGAGGGTCGAAAAGTAGGCTCGCTAAAGCGGCGGGTGCGGAGCCAGCTGGCCAGATGAGAGATGAAAAATTGCACGCCGTTGTGGCGCGAAGCACAGTTTGAAGTCAAAATGTACAAAGCACACCAGCTTCGGACCACTTTTGGAAGTTGCGATGTCGAAAAAGTGCACGCAGTTGTGGCGCGAAGCAAATTTTCAAGTCAAAATGTACAAAACACACCAGTGTCGGACCACTTTTGGAAGTTGCGATGTCGAAAAAGTGCACGCCGTCGTGGCGCGAAGCACATTTCCAAGTCAAAATGTACAAAACACCACATGTTCGCGCCACTTTTGGAAGTTGCGATGTCGAAAAAGTGCACGTCGTTGTGGCGCGAAGCACATTTCCAAGTCAAAATGTACAAAACACTAAGGGGTTCGGACCACTTTTGGAGGCTCAGATGTCGTTTCGCTTCACTACACTACACTACATTGCACCACACTACACTCCACAACACTACAACCACAACTACACAACTACACAACTACTACACAACTACACAACTACACAATTACACTCCACTACGCTCCACTACACTAAATTACACTCCACTACACTCCACTACACTAAATTACACTCCACTACACTACACTACCTTCCACTACACTACACTTCACTACATTACATTACACTACACGCCACTACAACTACAACTACAACTACACAACTACACTCCACTACACTCCACGACACTAAATTGCACTACACTACACTACACTACATTACACTACACTCCACTACACTACATTACACTACACCACATTCCACTACACTCCACTACACTACATTACACTACACTACATTACACTGAATGACACTGCACCACAGATAGACAGGTAGACAGATAGACAGACAGACAGATAGATAGATAGACAGATAGACAGGTAGACAGCTAGACAGATAGACGGATGAGAGAGAGAGAGAGAGAGAGAGATAGATAGATAGATAGATAGACATAGATAGGTAGATAGCTAGTTAGATAGATAGGTAGATAGATAGTTAGATAGATAGATTGATAGAAAGATAGGTAGGTAGATAGATAGATCGATAGATACATAGGTAGATAGATAGGTAGGTAGGTGGGTAGGTAGGTAGATAGTCAGAGAAAGAGAGAGAAATAGTGAGAGAAATCAATCACCTTTCGCTCCAGCAGTGGCTTCGCTCTGCCATCCCTGATTCACAACAACCAACCTCTCCTATAGGTTTCCTATTTTTGAAACTTCCGCCACCGCCTTGTGCGGTACTACTGGTATTTGCTAAATAATGTCAACCCTGGATTAATAAACCGCGGTTTATTAATTAGGGGGGTACCCCCCAAATAGTGGTAATCTAATACTCAAATGGTACCTCCCCAATCAAACAGCCTATAGGGGTTTATCAATCCGGGATTAACATTAAAAGGAAACAGTGGGACAAATCACTCGATCATATTCAGCTCCCTCCCAATCCTCTGCAGCATTTGTTGAATCACGAACTCCAGCCCACTGAGGCTGCCAGACTGGTGATGTGCTCTGGAAAGCCAATGATCTTCTTACTGCCTGACCAAACTTATGACAAGAATGCGGAGTCTGAAAATCCGAAGCGACACAAGATCTTTTCCCAAGGATGACCTGCAATCTACCAGGGTCTACATATAATAATTGTTCAGTGCGTTTTTTTTCATAATCTATCTCCCACATCCTCCAGCCCAGTGACCAAACCCACCATGATCCACCAACGATCCAGATATAATTGCATTGTGGGAGATCCATGATTTTCATGATATTCCATGATCATGAGTATCCATCAATATCCACCAATCAAATTATATCGCCATCCAATATATCCAATATGCACCATTCTGCACCCAATGACAAAGCAATCCACCTCCATCTCCAGGGCGTTTGGAGCGAAATTCGCCCAAAACGTTGGGCAACAGCAGCATCTGCTCGAAGTAGGCCCCCTGGTGACACGGTGACATGCTTGGTGACGCTCCAACAATCAGTACATTGGCATCTCGCCTGGTTGGCATCGATGCACTGGACGTAGGTGCCCCGGGTGAAGGGAACTGCTGTGTTCTGGTTGTCACCTTTGCCATCGCCCAGGATGGGATACCTGGCCAAACGTTGCCATGTACCAATGGCAACTATAAACCAACCGTCACCCAAACCCTCGTGGCTGGTCCCACCCTGGAATCTCGATCTTGTACTTTGGCTCCCGCCGACCAGTCGCATCCTCTGGGCAACTGGCATCAATGAGGCCTCGTGACGTGTGAAACGGTCAGCATCTTCACGAAGTGACCAGGCACGTACTACTAGAAAGGAACTGACATGTCTCCCTATAGCCAACCGCCAACCTTAGCCCAAGTTGTTAACATTTTACATGTGCTAACCGCTAAGCCAACTTTAATCTCAGGTGGCTGCAGCTGTAGTATCGCCGCTTCTGATCTTCATGGATGCAATCTGGATGTGCTGAATCCTCCAAATCTTCACAGTCGATGTAGGCCACCTGGCAGAACAGTGCTCCATGGAGAGAGGTTTTGCTGGGGCGCGAAGCGGAGGCCTTCATGGACTTGGGAAACTTCTTGAACATGATGTTGGTGTGCTTGTACTGCATGCTGTTGAAGAAGGTATACATTTGCATGGCCACCTCAGTGGTGACGAGCCGCTAGCGAAGCTAGTCGCTCGCCTTGGAAGTGCTAGGTTTTCATAGGCGTAAGGTCCGGACGACACAGGTAAATGCATCACTGGGGTCCCAAATCACTCCCAGCCTAGGTCGGCACCGGATGGCACCGGCGTTCAGTCCCAACAGCGGGCGGATGAAAATGGATGTCCAATGATGCCCAATCGGCAGCTTGGCCCGTTTCAAACATCAGAAGCGACCCATCAATGTGAATCCCAAGCAGAATTGCGTTCAGCTTAGATTTCCGCCAAAACCCTATGTTTAATGAAGTCTAATGCATCTCAACTTTGCAAACCCATGCTTTTCCTGTGGATTCCCTGCCACCCGGCCAATCCTGTCAGATCTCTCAGCTCCTGGGGCTGCGACTTGTTCCTCCGATCACCCTGGGCTTCGAAATGGCACTGCAGCGCATTGTGGTAGAGCCTCGTGTTACACGACTCACGCATCTTCACACGACACGAGCAGCTACCTGACACCGCTAAGACGGACCTTTGAAGCCAAGCAAAGTGACAAAAGTGACAAAAGTGACAAAAGTGACAAACCACGAAGATTGAAATTTGGGACAAATTTTGGTGCAACCCCTGGCCATCCGGAGGCTTCCGACATCATCCCAGAGACTGTCCGGAAGAGCGTCTGCAAGCGCATGGACGCCCAATAGCCTTGGGGATGTTTTTTCGGGCCATGTCAACTGCTAAGGTCATCCCAAAATCCATCAACATCCTGAGATCATCCTGAGATCATCCATGGGAAACCCGGGAAACCCTTTGAGCTCCCCAGCTGAGTTTCTCCCAGTTTTCATCATTGTACTTGCCCCAGTCTGTGCCAGCCTCACGGCTGGAACATGGGAGCCATAGCCGTACTCTCTGGTCTCGGGTCAAAAAAGCATCAAGAAACTAGAAGCTAGAAGCCGATTCAAGGCTGCAACATGTTTAAATGTCCTTAATACCGCCATATACTGCCTTTCAGTTCTTCTCCTTGTTGCTTTCAGTCAGGCAACGCGAAAAGAAGAAAAAACACGAATTACATCTATTGCATCTCAGAATCCATCTCGCTACTCTTGTTCTGTTTGTTCTGACATCTGACATATTTCTGGCATATTCTGGTGGGTTTTTTCCCACCTTTGTAACCTTCATCCACAGATATCCACAGTGGACATCACCCCGAACCCCCCGAACCCAACCTTGGGCCAGGTCATGCCACGAACGTACCTTTGGTTCTGCCCAAAAGTTGGCCAAAAAATGGTCTTTTCGATGAATCATTATGAATATATATATATAGAATATATATAATATAATATATATAATATAATATATATATAATATAATATATATAATATAATATATATATAATATAATATAATATAATATAATATAATATAATATATATATAATATATATATATACATGTATATATATATGTATATATATATATGTATATATATTTACATATAAATATTAATATATGTGAACAATTTAATCCTTGTTCTGGATTATCCCTTTTTGATTGGAATACCTGTTGTGCTGGTAATGCTGAGCAACGTCACGGCATGGCAGTCGGAGACCGATCTTTTTCCTCACGCATGATCTTGAGCCAAAGTAATTGGCGGTACATGCATACTTGTTTCCTACCCTACATGCTCAGCATGTTGAGTGACTGTATGGTCTAGTTCCCTTTCGCACCCCCCATGCCTACGGCGTCTTCGAACCGTAGGCACGAGAGTGGGAACTTTGAATTAAATCCTTTGTAATGCACGAATTACGCCTTTGTACACGCATTTTCCATTCGGCTCTCCCTTCACCCACGCCCGACGAGCGTAGTGGATCCGGGATTGCCTACTCTATGGCATGCAATGCATTGACGCAGGTTCGAGCTGTACATCGTTAAATGTCGCTAGCTTGCAGCTACTCTACGATTACGGCTTTGCAAGTCACTCCATCGACGACGGAAGTTGACTGCTCCACCAAGAATAGCTATTGACGCTAACTAGCGAATTTACGTGCACATTGCTAAAAAAAAATCGTGCAGATTGGGAATAGTGAAAAGATGGAACCTAAGCGAATTAGTCTACTGCCTCGCTCAGAGTCCTCTCAATTGGTCTTTTTCTGATCATCTGTTCACAAAGACGATACACATCTTATAGTCCAGTGATCACTTGGATGGACAGAGGTTGTTGGTTTACTCCTCACGGCGGACTTTCTTCCATTGAGGTGTAGTTTGAGATTTCTCCCAACCTGCCGCGCGTTTCGGAGCAGCTTTTGGCGATGGAGGCTTCGCAGGTGGTGCTTTAGATGGTTCATAAGACTTCGGCATAGCCTTAGCCTTTGGTGCACTGGCCGATGATGATGACGCTGAACCAGTACCTTCAGGTTTCTGTGAAGGCTGTGTTGATGATCTGGCTTTCGCGTCTGCAGCGGCACGCTTGGTGCTAGCACTGTCCCCGACTGCTTTGAATACTTCACTCACCACTTCGTCCCCCAGGTTCGGAGCCATCTTCATTTTCATTTCGGACTTTCCCCTCATCGCCTCGGACTCAGCGAGTTGAATGGCGTAAGCCATCTTGCCGATGAAGTTGCGAGGTAATGGAATACCGCATTGTTGGGCAGCGAAGAGTAGTTCCACCCTTTGCTCCTTTTCTCTCAGACTCAGATATACCGAGAAAGCTGGGAGTTCAATGCAGTTGGGGAAGCCGTGGCTTCCGGAACGGAAGAAGGTGTATGATTCATATTCGGGAAAGGTTCCCTTCATCAATCGTCGGAGAAAGTTGCTAATGGTCACCCTCATCTCCTGCTTCTCCTTTGCATCTCCCTGCATCTTCATCATTGGCATGAGGAAACCTAAGGACTCGGTAGTGTACCCGGCACAGATGAGAAACTCCATCATCTTTTCGTAAACTTCTAGAGTTTTGATGACAGGCATCATCATGTTTCTCGGCCGTCCAGAGTACATCAGTTCTCCCTCTGACCATGAGTTCTTCTTCCCCTTCTCCTGAAAGAGTGCGTCCAATTCCTGCTCAGTCGGTCGCTTGAGTTTGCCGTCCTGATCTTCGCCCGTGTAGGGGCAGAAGTCGTCCAGGTCCAGTCGGACTCGCTTGGTGGCTGTCATCAACGCATAGTAGTCCTCTGGGGTCAAAGTGACTCTCTGGTTGTAGTAGAGTCTGAACATTGCGATGATCTTTGACATCACGGCATTGTCGTACAAGTGAGCCGCGGCCTCGGAGACATCATTGTTTACTAGACCATCTCCTGGCAAACCCTTGCCTCCAGGCACAAGATTCTTGGTCCATGCTGGCAGGTTGGATGAAGGCTCATTCTCAGGTTCGACGTTCATGTCATCATCGTCGTCCTCTTCGACGATCTCATCGTCTTCCTGCTGGGTCTCTTCCTCCTGAGCCATTTCCTCGTCATCGCCTTCGTTGTAGTCGACCTCGTCAGGATTGAAGCCATAATCGTTGGATTCAGGTACGTTTTCCTGTGCTTGGTGGACCGTATCCTCGAACAACGATTCTTCCTGTCGGCGAACCTCCTCGTCGAGCTCTTTCTTTGTGGCTTCGTCTTCATCGTCTTCAGGAGCTTGTAGTCTATATGGTCGAATTCCACAGCTCTCAAGCTCAGTCCAGCAACCTAGACATACTGCCAACTTCGTCGGCGTCTCATTTAGGCAATGAGGACAATGACGGCAACCTGAAGTTTCCACCCTCTTGCGCTCGACGATGTAGTCGATCAGCTTGATGCGGGCGAGGTATTGTTCTTGTCCGCCAGCCTCAATGAGATTGTTCCTGAACTGATGGACGATGTTCATTGCATCCATGGTGATCTCGTCATACGGTTGCTTTTCGGCGTCGATGCATTGACTTGCAATCCTCAGAATGGACTCCTTGGTGGCGACAGTTCTTGACTTGACAGTGCCTGACCGGACTACCTGGTCGTCGCCCGACGGAACGAACAACCGGAGCCATGTCTTGTTGTTTTGATCCTTTGGATCTTGAATCCATCCTCCTTTGATCGCTGAGAACGGGATGATCTTTGGCGAAACGATCTGTCCCGAATCCGTCAATCGACCACCGTACTCCACCATCAGGGTCTCGGTCGGGATGAAGAGGCAGATGTAGTCCCCTTTTCGCGTGTCAACGCTCTTCGTGATAGTCCATGATCTATGATCCCACGGCACGTACGGATTGAAGAACGTGAACATACGATGACCTTCTCCAAGACCTCCTGGAATCAATCCTTCCCTCCAAATGCTTCGAAGGTTGGTCTTCTTCGTGATGTGGAAGCAAACCGGCAGTGACATGATGGTATTGGGCGCGATCGGATGCGAGAGCAATGATGACATCAACTAGACGTCGTCTCTGGAGGATCCTTCCTTGTGCCCCGTTGGAGCGCGAACTGCAACTGGATAGAGCAATAGCCCCTCGTCGGGAATATGCGTGTCTGCGTTGACGTTGTTGTCAATGCATGTCAAGCTGCTGCGATCAATGTCCTTGTTGATCCCGAACGCCAAGACTTGTTCACGTACACGACGTCCATATCGGGCACAGTGGAACATGATCTTGAACAGCAATGCCATGCGATTGCTCGCCTCTTTCACGTTCCATGCATTTTGATCGTTTGCTCTCCCTTTGGGGGCGAGGAAGACATGCGGCCAACGTTGGTACTCATGTCTCCAGATTGACTAACATTTGAGTACTTCCTCAATGGGTACCCAGCCGGCATCGTCACAAAACAAGCTTTGTGATTCTGAGGCCTTCCCCACAATGTGTCGTAGGATCCTGTTCAGTGAGGTGCTCACCTTGTCCTCATAGCTGTCGAGCCGATTACCGGTTTCGAAGCGATAGTTTGCCGCATACTCCACACCGCCAAAGTAGAAGCAGTTGAAGAAGTGGGCTCCCGTCGTGGGGATGATTTTCAAGAAACCATCTCGCGGCGCTTCGATCCGTTTGTAGAAGGGTTTTCTGATGTTGTTGTCGGAGTAGTTTGCGAGGAACTCTGGTACTGACCAAGTGTCACCTCCTCCTCTGACAATAGCGTCCCGGATCACTTCGTTGAGATCAACGATATTCTGGGGTCCCAGCTTGGTAACATCACGCCCTTCAATACAAAACCTACCATATTCATCCGGGTCTCCGACTTCGGACATAGTCCTGATGCTGTCGTACCACTGGTATTCACCGAACCTTGGTTTTGTAGGCTCATCCGTTTGCCTTGACCCTTCAGTAGCACCTGATCCGTCCTTTCTGTGCTCAGGTGGTTCCATCTCGACGTCATCAGATGTAGGACTATCAGCCTCGAGCGACGCTCGGACGGCCTTTAGCACCTTTCTGACTTCATCCTTCTTCTCATTTTCACATTCGAGATGACCATGTTTGGCGCTACCACAGTACAAACACACATTGACATCCTCAGAGACAGTGAAGAGTTTTCTCAACGCATCCAGGAGTTGTTGTTTTCCGGAAATCTCTGAGTCCCTAACCACATCAGTAGGGTCGTTTGCTGGCTCATCAGCTTCCTCCTCCCCAGGGTGAGTCGGCGACTCGTCACCTGGCTTGGCATCAGCATCAGCGCCCATGTTGGCGTCGTCTCCTGTGACATGGTGCTTTCTTCGAAACTGAGAGATGACCTGGTCTTTCTCCCACTCCGTGAGACAGTTGAAGTTAATCAACGATTCATACCCGGGGATTGCGTGGATGATCTTCATGACCTTTTCGGCTTCTGCAGTCTGCAGGGTGCAGTCGAAAGATCCTCGTCTCTTGTCGTTGATGGTGCTTGTAGTTCTGGAGGTTGATGTGAATTGGGCCAATGCCTTCTCCAAGCCGTTGAGGAATTCAGCAGGATCAACGCTGGCATTGAAGACATTCACAACCCCTTTTGCCATGTTTGCCACATCCAAGACACCAAGCCAAAACTCGATGATGTCCCCAGTCTTCTCGGCTGATGCACGGGAGAATCCGAAGATTTCGTTCCTTTCTTTCACCTCAGGAACAGCGACCTGCTCGAAGAAGTCCTTGTACGCGACATTTCCGCAGTCTTTCGTGACCCTGAAGACCAGGAGCCACTTCTTCGCGACCTCATCATAGATTCTTTCGCGGTAGATGCTGAACTGTTTGCCGCGTCCATTTCGGAAGATCTCCAGAGCCTGTCTCTTCGATACCCTGACTCCCCCCATGTGCGAAAGAGACTTCATCAAGTGCTCCCCGTACGGCAATAAAGCG